TTTCCTTCTTCTCTACTTCCTCGCGATCTTCTTCTATCACTTCCTTGTTCTTCGAAGATGATCTTTCTTCCTTCTTACTCGCTGAAGAGATCTTCTTCGTTTTCCTTCTTCCCAAGCGAAGTTCTCCTCCGCTACTAAGTACTGCCTTTCCTTCTTTGCTACTCTTCTTTTTCGTTCCTTTGCCACTTCGTTCTTTGCTTAGAAACTACTTCGCTGGACTGGAATCACTGATGAAATCTCTCCAATCCACTGGAATACGGCCAGCGCTCGCCGCGCAAAAGTATTTTTCCAGCAGCGATTTTGGCTCTGACTGACCTTGGAGAGTTTTGGCGGAGATTTGGCGAAGCCCGAGCAATGGTGGCGGCAAAATCTCTCTGGAGAGCTGTGGTGGCGAGCAGGGATCGAATGTAGGAAGGGAGCGAGAGACTTACGAAGAGAGCGATGAGAGCGCAGCGCCCCCAAAATTCCTTGGAGAAAACCCTAGGAAGAGCTACCAGATCGCACGGCCGGGAGGGGGACACGTGGCACGCCTAGATCAGGTTATACTACTACACAAAACTATGACGCTTTTTTTTTTTATGTATTTATTTTACTTTACATCTCGTCTCGCAACTCGCAACGCCAAAAACTTTGTCAAAACCTCACCTTGGGAAAGAGAAGAGAGGAAGAAAAAAATAATCCACGAAGACAATGCCAACCTCGAGAAGATGAGAAGATGGGATGGAAAAAAAAAGAAGAGAGGACAAAAAGTCAGAAGAGATCCGCTGCTTTCTTGTATTGATCTTGCTTCCACTTTGGCAGTGCTCGGAACTGATCCACTTCCATGCCGAAAACGCTCTTGAATTCCTCGGGCGATAAGTAGCTCTGCTCGGCGACAAAGGGAGAAGTTAATCTCACTCAATCAAGATCAAGATCTTGCGTAGTTACCTCTCGTTTTGTCACGTCGATTCCAGGAGGATTGCTCGAGGATTTTACCCTGAGGATCTCATAGCTGAAAGGCCCAGTCGCCGCAGGAGGTGGTGGAGCGTCTGAGCTCTCGGAAGTTGTAGGAGTTGGATCCACCACTGGACAAGATTCGAAGGCGTTAGACAAAGGTTGGAAACAAAGAAAGTTTTGGTGTTACCAGGTTCTGGAGATGGCTCCTTGCTCTCGACCGGTGACTTTCTCGGCGTGAAAGATGGCCTGGGTGTGAGGGGCGATTGTCTTTGAGAGGACGCCATGGGAGATGACGAATCCGCGTCGAGTTTTGGTTCGTTCGCACCATTGGTAGCTGTTCGTTTCTTTGGAGGCGTCTGCACGAGGAGAGAAGTAAGCGACACAACGTAGAACAAAAAAACTGTGGCGTACATCGTGTCCTTGCGCTGGTCTGCCCTGTAGCGCCGCGAGTCGTCTCTCAAAGGGATCAACATAGGCCTGTGATTTGTTTTAGAACAAAACAACAAGAAGTAAAGAACAAGCTTACAGCTGATTTTGATGGATCCCAGGCAAAGTGTCTTGTAAAAAATGCTGGCTCACTGCCCTCTAGAATTTTGAATATTGGGATGTCTTTGGAAAGACCATCAAGTCTACTGGCCCGCTCAACGTATTTCTACACACACACACACACACACAAATATCAAGGATGTTTCCAGAAATTTCAGAACAAACCTCGGCAATTGCAAATCCCTGTTTCTTGTCCTTGGGGCTAACGTTTTGACCAATCCAAACACTCAGTTCACACCGGGTATCAAGGATCATGATGTCGTCACTCAGGAGATCGTCTTGAGTGAAATTAAAAGTTTCTTCAAACTGTATGACACAAAGTTACACATACTAGCCCCAAGTTCAAGAATGCGTACCAATAGATTGCCTGGCTTTCTTGTGTACTCAAACAAGCGTGGATCCTTATCGGAGTCAACAAGTTCTCTCTGGCTGGGATATACCTTCTTTCCTCCAAGAGCATTCCAAAATGTAGGAGGCTCAGAACCTTCTTTCAGTGACTTGGGAGATGATTCACTCTATACATCATTTAGAATAAGCATTAAAGACGATACCAAAAAGATGGGAGTTACCTTCAATGACGTAGCAATTCGTGCGGCAACTTGTTGTTCCTCAAGGGTACTGAAACTTCCAAACCATAGCAAATAAGTCTTAGCAGACTGAAAAATGAAGCAGTCCGAGGAGTTTAACGAGGCAGAAACCTGCGTAGCATGACGGTGTCACCATCTGACAGTTTCTGGCAATTTCAAACACAGCTTACGGGCTCAACTTGGACGGCCAGACTGTTGTAAGGCTTTGTTCCACGTACTCGAAATAAAGCAAGACCGTCCTCTGTGTATGTTTCGTCTTCCGACGCACTCTCTGATACAAGTGTCTTGTATCCCGAGCTCTGACCACCCTGATAATAGGAAGGAATGCACCAGTTTTATCCATGCAAAAGATAGTAGTTGACGAAAAATTGTGATCGATACCTTGAAAATGACCAGGCTTGAAAATAACGCAATAAACTGTGAAGGCTCCTTGCCTTCAAACACACGGGCCTGCCACCAGGAGTTTATCACAAGATTATGGAAAGAACTACTCACTTGTACTAGACGTCCTTTAAAAGAAGAGGAGATCTCTTCAACGTGAGAAAATGCTGAGCTTTGATCTTCCTGTAAAGAGCTTTGAAGAAACAAGTAAAGAATTTTATAGGAGGCCATACCTCTGCACTTTGATTTCCAAGCCAGCAGCAAACAAAACACTCTGTTTCCTTTTGATCTCCTTGGTAAGTGTAACGCACAACAAAACAGTCACCAGAATAAAAATGCCCATGGGCTTCCGAAGGGACGGGAGTCTTTGTCTTTCCATCAACCCGCCACACCTAAAGCAAGACAAAGTTTTAAAAGTAATGTGCACGGTTTCAAGCACCTCTAATTTTCCTGAGGAGTTAAAAAGGGATGGTTCATCTTCCTTGACAGAAGCACCTTTCAGAAGTCCCTTGACATCCACGCCTTGCTGCTTGAGTAAAGCTGCGCAAGTCTTAATTCCATCAGTGAATATGACTCGATAATAATCTTACCCGCAACTTTTCCTCTGCCTTCTTCTGAAACCACAGGAGCACCTCCAGCCGTTGTCCATTCGCCAAAATAAGATTTAAACGGCAGAGTTTCAAAGCCTTCGATTACTCGTGTAATTCGTGTTGTTTGTGGCTTCTTAGCAATATATTCCTGCATAGACAAGCGCTTTAAAAAATTTATAAGAATGCCACAATGTCCTCCTTACCTCCGCTGCCTTGGACGCAGACTTTCTTTCGTCTAAAGAGGTGGCACGACCCGTCCAAACATATACTGTAGGTCCACCATCTAACAAGTAGCACTTGTCTGTTTCCAAAAGCTCTCTCGGCAGGGAACTAGCGCTGACTTCTTGCACGTTTCCATCCACGAGACTTCTAGTAAGAAGCGAACAAGCGAACGACGTTCAGAGTCAGTGGACGAAGGAATGACGGACTAGCAATTACCATATAAACAGCTTTCCACTGCCAGGATCTTCGTCTTCGTTCTCCTTGATCGAAGCTTTCTTGCCAATGGGTGCAAAACCTCCAAACAATCCCCAAAATTCGCCAGCATCCGCTTCAGCAGCCATTTTTCCATCCTCTGTCCCACGGCAAGTCTGAGATAAAAGATAGAAAAACACAGTACTCACCAACAATAGCAACTGCGCATTTGCCATCGTGATCATTGTCCTTGATAAACTGCACAACTTCCAGGGCCTTTGCTCGCTCTTGAATGCTCGAGTTGACGCCATTAAACTGATAAATCTTCACGTCTGTGTCCAGGATGAACACATCGTCGTGATTGAGCGACGATCTCGAAAATGGCACCTGAGAAGAGGAGTATAAAGTTTTACGTCATAAAACAGCAGACACAAACCTCTTTTACTCGAACGACTCGCCTCCCTTTGCAACAAAACAACCGCGGCTCGATCTTTTCGACTTCCGGCTTTTTAAAACCGGAAGCGCAGCCACCTTCGAGTGGAATAATACACGGCTTGAAATAAGTTAAAAACTTATCGCTTTCGGATCCTTGGACTTCCCTGTATTGAACAGCTCGACCTCCCAAGGCTGCATCAAGCTCTACAGATTTTATGGCAGCAGTGCCAGCTTCATCCTGTGTGAAGAAGACAACATTATATAACTTCGATCCAAATTCACGCAACACAAATTTACCTGACTTGTTGCTTTGCCAAGCCAGAAATGTATATCATACCGGAGAGCTCCACTCTTCAATGCGGTAGTCTGGGAGAAGTAAGAAAGTAGAAATTAATCATCCATGAAAGAAAGTGCAAGAAAAGTTAGCACCGACCTTTAAGATGATATATGAATCACCAGTGTAAAACTTTCCATGATCAGACTTTGGCAGAGGGACAGGAACAAAATTTTCGATTCTCCAAATCTCCAGCCCGCTAGCAAACGAATTAGATTGATCAAGGAACCATCAAATACCAAAATAGAAGATGAGAAACCAAAGGATACGCTTTCTGTCCAATGCCCTGGAAGGCCGGATCAACGTTCTTCATAGAAACAGCCATCGCAATATCGATGCTGGATCCTCACAGCAGCATCTAGCGCCAGGAATGATCGAAATATCGCAGATCGAGCTCACAGAAATCTAGCTCGTTCCAAATATCCCAATCCTGCTGCCCCGAGGTTAAATCTGGAGATTTCTCGTACCTCTTCACCGGATTCGTGCGCACTCGCAGCAGCGCCTCGATTTGCAGTGGCGCTCAAATGCGCGATCGATTCCTCCACGCCGATCGCCCTGGGATTGCGCAAGAAAACCAACAATGTATGCCTAATCTATCACTCGCAACAGTGCTACGAGCTAAACCTTTCCAGCATGTCTTTAGCATGACAGCTCAGAGCCGTCGGATCCACGAATCGGACGCTCCAGGTGGATCTGAGTTGGCATAGCGTACCACTGCCACGTGGGGCCCAGGATGCTAGGGCCGACACACTAAAGAATACTTTAGAACAACCTGGATCAAAGTAAAGACCATAGAGATTTTCTTCTTTCTCAAAACAATCGCAAGATCGATAGCGAAGAAGCTCTCGGAAATTTCGGCCTAGATCTACACATCTTAGAAGTATACACGGGGATGTTTTATTTTTTCTTTCGATTCTCTCGTTTAAACGGATGCTCTGCAAGGCCTTCGATGGATCGTTATGCTACAAAGAAGACGAAGACCAAGAGGAATACCAGGAGCACGAAGAAGATCTTGACGATGAGCCAACGGTTGGAGGAGATGCCATTAAGGTACTTGAGAAGCTGGCCTTGCGCGGCATCCACATTCGATAGCGTATCATCCATGTTTTCATCGATCCTGCGAGAAAAAGAGAACTTTGGGTGAGTTCCATCTCCAAAGAAGCTCAACTTCCTGCGGGATCACGCAAAAGAGCGTTTGTTACCTGATCGCAACTTCGCCTTGCTCCGCAACCATCGTCGCCAGCTGCGAGAAAATGTTTCCCAGCTCCGCAATGGTCGACTCCACGTTTCGCAGCGCCTCGGCTCGGCTGTGCAAGTAGTGATCTTGAGTTGGAACGAGCTGTTGCGTTTGAGTTTGAGACTGCGAGGAGGAGATGCTGCTACTCGAGGCTTGAGACGTCGAGCTCTCAGCACCACCCGGCCGCCTCCTGAAAGACCACGAGAGAAAGATCGATCAGCGAAAACAAAGAAGATAAATGAATCTCCAGACACCTTAGATGAGTTGCCTTTGGCATTCCATCAGTCACACCTCTGCATGCAATGCAAAGAAACATACTCTCCGTGTCTGTGTGGATAGAAAGCTTTTCTAATCAACTTTTCCTTCACAAACCTTGAATTGAAGAGCTCCCTCGTTGTGGCTCCGTTCACTGGAACTTGTTTGCCAAAGCGCCTTGTTCCTTTCTCGGCCGAGGTCGAGTAGATCTTCATACGTTCTTCGTGAACTTTGAGACTCTAGAGGCGCAGAAGAAAAACTTTAGTCACGCAAACTTGGATGGAGAGAGATCGAGAGAAAAATAAAAAGTACCTCGCTTCGCAACGTCAAGACATCCTTGAATTCTTTGGTTGTGTCCATGAGCCTTGTTTTGAGATTTCCTACGACGGTGGTGGAGTGATCGCTGCTATGCTTGTTTCGATTGATCTCGTTACGAGCGTCGCAAACACGCTGGAGATCCTCGATCGCGCTGTTCAATGCCTGGATATCTTGCCTGATCACAGCAGTGAGCTCTTGGATCTCGACTGCTGGGTCGTCAAAAATGGACGTCTTCTTCGCCACTGCAAGGAGAAGAAAAATTCTCACCAAGCTCGAAGAGATCGATCTAAAAGGCGCTAAAGCACGAAGAACTTACATTGGGTGAGCTTGTGGAGCTTGTTAGATGTTTGGTGGATGCTAAGCCCTATCTGCGAGGCCCGGCGATTAAACTCCGAGTGCAAGGATCCGCTGGATTGATGCTGCTGTAGAGGCCCTCCTGCTCTCGCCGATGATGATCCCTCCATGGAGCCATTCGCCGCGGAGAATGCCGGCGACCGTTTCAATCTCTCGGCAATCGCCTGGAATTCCGACGTTCTATCCCTACAAGACGACGCGCCGCTCACCGCCACTGGCATCTTTGCGCGCCTTTCCTCCCCCTAGAGCCCTAGAATCGATTCATGCAGCTTGCGCGCCTTGCCTGTGCCTAGATCCAGCTCTCGCGCTCCCAGATCTCGAGCTCCCAGCCCAGCGCCTTCCAATCTAGGTCTAACCTCGCAATGAAATGGCATGGGCCGTTGGATTGGGCATCTAACGGACGAGAGAACGCGTCATACGTGGCGCCTTCTTCCACCTAAGATTAGGGTTCTTGGGCAATGGCGCGTTGTCGCGCAGCTCGGTCGGAGGCGCTGCCAAAGGAGTTTGGAGCGATGGAAGACCGAAAACGCGAGATTTCTCGTCTTCTCCAGGCATTGAAGGTGTGTAGCAAAGCCCGGGATCTGGAAGCTGGGCGAAAGATCCACGCACAGGCGATCCAGGGCGGCATTGCCCCGGATCCTTTCGTCGCGAGCAGCTTGATTCATATGTATTCCAGGTGTGGCAGCACGGAGGACGCATCGGCCGTGTTCTTCGATCTCACTCCACCGCAATGCCGCGACGTAGTTTCTTGGACGGCTCTGATGCTGGGATTCGTGGACAACGGCCAGGGCGATCGTGCGATCGAGCTATTCGGTGAGATGATCCAGCAGCAATGCCGGCCAGACGCTCAAGCTTTCGTGGCAGCGATCAAAGCGTGCTCTAGCATCGCAGAGAAGGGAAATTCCGGGAGGAACACTGATAGAGGGAAGCTGCCAGATCCTCTGGAGGTTGGAATGGCTCTCCATTCTCATGCCGCTAAGAATGGGCTCGTGAAGAACAACGTGTTCGTCGCCAACGCTCTGGTGGATATGTACGCGAGGTGTGGGAGCGTGGCGGATGCTAGCAGGACCTTTCACGGCATTGCTCGTCGCGATGTGGTGGCTTGGACGTCGCTGGTTCTGGGAGTTGCCGAGAGAAAAGACGGTGGCCAGGAAGCTCTACAGATCTTTTCTCGGATGATCGAGTCTGGGGAGTGCGAGCCGGATGCTCGCAGCTTTGTTGCTGCGCTAAAGGCTGTGGCGAATCTAGCAGCACTAGAAGAGAACAAAGGTGGCGGGCAGGCTAGAAGCGAGGTGAATTTTCGGTGCCTGGAGAAAGCAATGGCGCTTCACTCCGAGGCCGCGAGGAGACGATGCCTGGATACATTCGTGGCCAACACCCTCATCGACGTCTACGCCAAGTGTGGGAGCTTGGGCTTGGCTCGCAGCGTTTTTGAGAGCTTGTCCCGGACGAGCTCTCAGAAACGCTGGGAGGCAGGGTCGAGCTCCAGGAGCTTGGTGTCCTGGAACGCGATGATCCTGGCCTACGCCGAGAACAACGAGCCCGAGATGGCTCTGCTGCTCTTCACTCACCTGGATCATCCTCCCGACGCTCCGACTTTCACCGCGGCTTTCAAGGCCTGCGGGGGGCTGGCGAGAAGAGAAGCTCCCAAGAGCTTGAGCGATGGTGGTGCTGTGAAAGTCGCGGCACTCGAGAAGACCATGGCCGTGCATGCTCGAGCGGTGAAAGAGCGGTGGGACTCGCACGCTTTCATAGCCAGCAGCGCCATCGCCGTGTATGCCGAGTGTGGAGATATGGTGGACGCTCGCTGGAGCTTCAAGAAGATGGCAGTGAAAACTCTGGCCGCGAAGACGGCTCTGCTACAAGGATACGCCGACAACGGACAGGGAGAGGCTGCTCTCGAGCTCCTCTCGCGCGAGTTCAAGCCGGACGACGACTCGTGCTCTTGCGTCGCCGCTCTCAAGGCTTGCTCGAGCTTGGGAGCTCTAGAGGCCGGGAAAGCCATCCACGGAGACATCTCCCGGCGTGGATTCGACTCCAACGCGGTGGTGGCAACTTCTCTGGTGGATTTCTACGGGAAGTGCGGGAGCATGGTGGATGCCCAGCTGGTTTTCGACTCCACGAGCAGCGAGAACAAGGATTTCGCAACTTGGAGCTCTCTAGTAGCAGGCTACGGCAGGCAAGGTGCCAGTGAGCGAGTCTATAGCTTGGTGGACAGGATCCAGGAAGAACAGGGACAGCATCCTTGCGAAGTTACGTTCTTGTGCGTCCTCAACGCTTGCAGCCACGCTGGTCACGTCGACAAAGGCAAGAGCTACTTCGCAGCGATGTCGTCCAAGTATGGGATCCCTCCCGGGATTGAGCACTATCACTGCATGGTCGATCTGCTGGGAAGAGCAAACCGGCTAGACGAGGCTCTCGAGACAATAACAGCAATGCCTTGGAGAGCCGACGTGGTTACATGGACGACGCTGCTGGGAGCGTGCCGGAAATGGAAGAACTCGCGAGTCGGGAAGATAGCTTTCGAGGAACTTGTTCGCCTGGACGAGAAGAAAGCCGCGGCATATCTCCTCATGGCGGGCATCGCCGGGGAAGAGATGGAGCTCTCGAGAGGAAGTTCTTCGAGAGCTCAAAGCTGGTGGACGGACGAGGAGGGAGTGGTGCACAGGTTCGTGGCCGGAGACTTCCATAGCCCAGGAAACTCGAGCTTCGTCAAGAAGCTCAAGGAGATCCCAGGAGCTCCTCCACTCTCGGACGAGCTTTGTGGACACAGCGAAAGGCTGGCTGCGGCGTGTGGAGTCGTGAGGAGCAACGCTCATCCAGGTAGCGTGATTCGCATTGTAAAGACTCACGAGAATGTTTGCCGCGAGTGTCACAGGATCATCGCAGCTCTGTCACTGCTCGAAGCTCGAGTGATCGAATGCGTAGATCCTGCTGGCTTTCACACCTTTGATAATGGAAGAAGCACTTTCCATCGCCAAACTCGCCGATCACCACGAGCACTCGCTTACAGCGATCTAAAAGCGGTGCGCTTTTCTCGAGTGAGAGGCATTTAAGGAGAAAGAAAACCATCGCTCATCTTGCATTGGTTCTCCATTTTTCCCGATCAACGAGCGAGCTCTGGACAAAATCTTTCCTTTTCTTCTTTTTCTTCCTCCTGTCGAGCTCTGCTAAAAAAAATTCCTATTCTCCTCCCTTCTCCACCGCCATTTCTTCATAATCCCAGACCAACACTTCTTTTTCTTCTCCTTCCACCTTGAGAAATCTTCTTCCCATTCCATGCTTACTGTTATTCCTTCCTGTCTTTAAAATCACCGAGGGGCTAGTCCCAAGCCAAGCCACCATCTCTGTCCACCACCAATCCGATCACCCTCTACTCCAATCCCTGTGTCGCCAGCCGGAGTAGAGGAAAAAAAAATGTACAGACTAATAGAAAAGCTCCCAAACTTCCAAGTGCCACCGCTTCTTCTGAGCCTGTTCTAGTTTTCCTCCTCTTTTTTTCCTGTTCTTTCACCCGTGTCCCTGTCTCTGTTCCATTAGTTTTTTTTTTTTTTTTTCTTGCCTGTCTTTCCTGCTGTGCCTCTTCGTCTTGATCGTCTCTACAAATGGTTGTGGACGATGAAACCTGGTGGTGCTCCGGAGAGCCTGCTCGCTCCAACTTCTAAGCTCTTGCCATTCCCGGCCATGGTGCAGCTGGAACGCAGCACCGGACTGTCAGTCTTCTCGACAAACTTTACAAAGGAGTAATCGAGGACGTCTGCTGCCGCCGAGGAGCCCAGATCCTGGACTGACCCCGCGCTTGCTCGCCTCACATGTTTCGTTGTTGTTGTTGTTGTTGTTGTCGTCGTCTCTACATTATTTCCTGCTGCCGAAGAAGCTAAAGCCAGCTGCTGCCTAAGTCGTTGCTGCTGCTGCTTCAAGAATCTCAACCTCTGGATCTCTTTCTTCAGGGCCTCGTTGTGAGCTGTAAAGCGAAAAAAGAAAAAGAGTGAAAGTTAAACAACGACAGGCCAGAAAATATAGGAAAGGAGATTTTGCAAAGTGGTGGCTGCTTTACCATCTTTAATCCGGGCATCCTGAGCCAGACCAGCAACGTTCTGCTTGAGGGCTGCGTTGTCCAAGTGAAGCGCCAGGCGCTGGTGCTCGAGCAGTGCCACTTGTGTCGACAGCCCAGACACCTCATTCTGGAGAAAAGAAAAGCAAAACATTAAACGAATGATTGATTACAAGTGCTTCAGCACAAAGCTGCACACAGCGGTACCTGTAAGTCACTGACGTTACCCTCCAGCTCATGAATGTATTGAAGTTTTCGCACTCTGGAGCGCTGGGCTGATTGCCTGTCCCGCAGAAAAGAAAAACAGAAACAACAACCATTAGAATGATAGCCAGAAAAATCCTAGAAAGCAACCAGAGAGAAAAGAAAACCACAACTAGAATGACACAGATAAATCTTAGAAAGGAAGCACATATAAAATCGAGAAGCAAACACAACCATAGTAGCTAGCAAAACGAGAAACAAAGAGAAGGAACAGAGTTATTACCACCTTAAAGCATAAAAACCAAACACAAAGGTAAATTGAGAAAAACGAGAAGGAAAAAAACAATCAGACAAAACGAAATGAGCTACTGTCCTGAAAAATACGAACAAAGAGAAGAGAGAGCCACAGTTAGTATGACACAGGTCCTAGAGGAGGAACAGACCACCACCGAAGTGCCCAGCCTACCAGCAAAAGGAAGCAAAAAAAAGAAAAAAACTATCTAAACAATATCTTACCTCTTGGAGCGCTTGGAATCAGCGCTCTGATCGCCCTGGAGCTGTGACTGCTCGTTGTCATGCTGCTGCTCGGCGTCATTCCCCATCCTTGATCCACCAACGTAGCTCAAATCTCCAGGAAAAGTCCGGAAGGGATGAGGAGCTCTTCGATCTTGCTGAGACCATCCTCCATCGGATATCTGGACGACGTCGCTAAACATGGCCGCGAGCTGCTGTTCTTCCCGATCGAAGTAGCACTCGTCCTCCTCGGCAATGTCATCGATCTTTCGGAGGTTGGATGGAGCCTCCAAGAAGGTGATGCTGTCGCTGGCGGATCGCCTGTGAGACGCGCGCGACGGCCTCTCGGGCGCCTTGGGCGAATCGAGCAGCTCCTCGAGCCAAGAGGGCTCCACGTCCGGGACAAAGCTCGCGGATGGGCTCCGGCGATGGTGATGCGCCACGGCCGCGGCGCCATAGCCAGGAACTCTCACCACGCATCCAGGGTAGGGCGGCCCAACGCACGGCTGGGACGACGAAGTAGAGGATGGAATCGCTGGACTCTTCGGCGGGAGGTGATTGAGCGCCATGGAATGCCCCCAGTTTACACACCTTGAGGAGGATTTGTCGCTTCGCCCGAGCTGCGAGCTCGACATTCTTCGCTGCGATGGAGTGGATTGATCGATCCCTGGAAGATAAAAGAAGGAAAAAGCATGCAATCCCGGGAATCGCCGAGCTCCACCGAGCAAGATCTAGGGTCCACAATCCAGATCTAGAGCTGTGGATCCCTCCTTGGCGCTAACCCTAGAAATTTCTCCAGTGAGGCCGCAGCCATCGTCTACTCCCTCTCTCTCTCTCTCTTCTCTTGTTCTTTAATGTGTAATTTCAAGTATAAAGGACGTCACGGGGTAAATTCCGTGATGGACGGTTGCGATTCATAGTTTTCGAAAGAACGGTCACGATTTGGTGAAACCCACGAGGCGATGACTGGCTGGGATGAAATGCCTGGCAGCAGACGGCTAAGATCTGATGTAAATTTCCTGTCAACAGCTGGATCCTAGACGATGTATGTGGCGGAGTTTACATTAATCCAGTTGTTAAGTGGCAATGATAATGATGAATTTGTCCGTGATACAAACATACCATGTGAATGTGGGTAGATCACGCTGATTAAAAATTAAGTGTACATACTATTTGATTTTAGGGCAAAGTTCCAGCTAGGGTTTTGGGCTCATGGAAGAGAATGCAAGGCGGTGGAGGGGAAATTTGCGCGCGATGAAAGAGCGAGTGAGGGATCGCCTCTGCGCAGCGCAAGCACACAGTTCTCTCAGGCAATCGCAGCAAAGATCCGGTGTGGTGCGTGGAGCAGCGCTTGGCAGGGCCAGGACGGGGTTCGTAGTCGCCAGGGTATTCAAGGGAAACGTCGTGTTTGCGCGGGTTGCCAAGAATCTGCGGCAGCGAGAGCGGGCGTGGAGGAAAATCTCGATCGCCGATCGCATTCCAAGCTTCCGGAATCTCATCGCTGGAGCTTTCGGTGGAGCGATTCTTGTCGGTGGCTCCTCCGCTCACGCCGAAGCGCATGAAGCTCCACAGGGGTTCTTGGAAGAGCTGGCCTCCAGAAGAAAATTCTTCAAAGGTGAGTGGAAACTTTCTCTACACAGTCCATCTTGATCTTATCTTTTGGACAGGCCGGGGCGCTGCAACTATCGACGATGATCTAAAGAAGAAAATTTCCGAGGACTCTCCAACCGTCCGTGTACTTCGTGCCATAGCTGTTCCAGTTCTCGCAAATGTTTGCCATGTTTTCATGCATGGACTTAACCACACTGAGGTTTGTGGCTCGTCTCTTCTCTCGATTTTTTTTTGCCACTTCCTTCTAGCAAACAGGTCTATGGCTTGGAGAAGCTTGAGAAAGCACTTCTACATCGCCCTCAAAGCACGGGTCTACTAACGGTGCGCTTCTCTTTTCATTTCTCTCCTGTTCTCTGGTATGATGTTCTAACGGTGTTTTTACTTTCGTGTAGCTGAGCAATCACGTTGCCGCAATGGATGATCCTTTGGTCACAGCTTCTTTACTATCGCCTCAGATTCTACTTCATGAAAGGATGCTAAGATGGACGTTGTGCGCTACTGACCGATGTTTCACGTCCGTGCCCAAGTCTATCTTCTTTACGTCTTTGAAGGTGCTGCCAGTTTCTCGCGGCAAAGGCATTTACCAGGAGGTATACTTTTTTCTTGTCTCTGCAACCTTTGGAAACTCCACTGACGCGTAGTAAATCTCTTACAGGGCATGGACCTTGCGCTGGAGAAACTCAACCACGGAGATTGGGTACACATTTTCCCCGAAGGCAGTCGATCTCGAGATGGTGGGAAAACCTTGGGAAATGTGAAACGAGGGGTTGGGAGGTGATCTTGTGTGAGCTTTTTCTGACTTGCTGCGAGTTATCTAATGCCCCTTGTTTTGTGTGATGAAGGCTAGTCATGGATGCGAAGGAGACGCCTGTGATCATCCCTTTCATGCACGAAGGCATGCAAGAAGTTTTGCCGATTGGTAGCAAGTTCCCGCACATCTGCAAGAAGGTATTCGTCTCGTTTCGTGTTCATGTTCCTTCACAGAGCTTTCTTTGCAGGTGACTGTTCTTGTGGGAGATCCAATTCTCGTGGACGATTTGCTTGCCAGATGCAAGGACCAAGAACTCACAACCGATGCTCTCTACGACGCCGTCGCACAGCGCGTGGAAGAGAGAATGCGGGCGATGAAAGGCGAGCTACAGCAGCTGGTGACAAACGAGAGACTAGCGCGCGAGAGAGATCGCAAGCTCTATCTGGCTCGACGAGCGAGCGGGATCTGGGAGCACATCGACTGGGAAATGGAAGGCTTTTCACTCCACAGCGACGACGAGACGATTGATCACTCCCAGCATCAGCAGCAGCGCGAATTCTCTGAGATCTCTTCCGAGGACGCAGCAAAAACGAGCTGGATGGATCATCCAATCCATTCCAGCGATCGCGCGCTGGATTCCTCGCCAAGCATCGCGGCGAGATTGAGAGCTTTCGGCGATCCAGCAGCGATGGTTAGCTTCGCGGCACGGGGCATCGCCTGGAACTGGAAGATGCCCGAGTTCAAATATGGTGTCGGCACGTGGACGGCCAGATTGTGTGGAAATCAAGGGCTGGGATTGTAGAGGATCTCGGGCTTGGGTTTGTGGCGTAGGGTTTGTGCGTTTGTGTTTAATAGCGAGCGAGCTGGTTTGGCGTCGCCAAGGGTTCTAGGCGCTCATATCTCTTCACCGGTTTGCCACACACAGCCGCAAAGGTACGCGCCTCCAATCCACCGATTTGCGGCGTGCTAGGGCGCCGCCGCGAGGCATTTCTGGAGATTTCTCACTCGTTTGCTGCGGATTTTGCTAGATGAATCGAGAGAAGCTGATGAAGATGGCTAGTGCTGTGCGCACCGGTGGAAAGGGCACAGTGAGGAGGTATTTCGGCGGCATTGGATGATTTCGTTGTTTGAGCTGATGGATTTTTGTTTTCTGGCGCAGGAAGAAAAAGGCAGTACATAAGACGACGACGACCGACGATAAGCGTCTCCAGAACACGCTCAAGAGGCTGGGCGTGAACACCATTCCCGGAATCGAGGAAGTTAACATCTTCAAGGACGACATTGTTCTTCACTTTGTCAGTCCCAAAGGTTTGGAACCATTTTTTTTCCTCCATTTTCTTCCAGGTTTTTTTTTTCTTAGATCCGATCGACCAACCTTTCTTTTCTTCATTACTTATTTTCACCTTGTTAAATTCTTCCAGTTCTCCATTCCCATTGATTAAGTTCTTCCAGTGTTCTCTTTTCCATTCTTGTTAGTCGAACAACTTCTTCCAATATTTACTGACGCTCTCATGTTTTACAGTCCAAGCCTCGATAGCTGCTAACACTTGGGTCGTGAGCGGACCCGTCCAGACAAAGAGTAAGCTCCAGAGAAAGTATCAAAGTGTTTAGCTAATCCTTTTTTCGATCGATCGCCAGAGCTCACGGAACTGCTGCCTGGTATCATCAACCAGCTCGGTAAGTGTTGGCCATTGTTCTCGCTTGGATTGGTATTGATGTTTTGCGATCGAATCAATCCAATCGACTGCAGGTTTCTCGGGGCCGGATAACTTGGAGAACTTGAAGAAGATCGCGCAACAATTCAAGCGGCAAGAGAGTGGCGGCGGCGGAGCTCCGCTTGGCACCATCGAGGACGACGAGGATGTTCCCGACCTTGTTCCTGGCGAAACTTTCGAAAAGCCTGCCGCCAATCCTCCCGAAGAGGTTGTGGCAACCGCGTGATACTAGCAGAGAATATTCTTGCTATGTACTTGTAGCCCCTAGGGCATATTTTCCTTTTTTTCTATTGTACCTATCACGCGTTACATATTATTTTTAGGATTCATTAATCTAGCCCATCCGGTCGCACACGTGGCGCGAATCCGAGAGCTTTCTTTTTGTTGAGAACCCTAGCTCCAGGGTGAGGACTTTTGGAGGAGAGGTCCGAGCGAGAGCGATGGCGGCGATTTTCAACAAGCTCTCTACTATTTTCAGCAGTGATGATACGCTGCCCTGGACAGATCGCGAGATGATCAGTGTAAGCTTCGATCTATGGAAATTTCGGGAGAATTTGATGAATGCTTTGGAGCAGAGGTGCGAGAGCGAGGTCGCCAAGGAAGGAGCTGGAATTACGCCGGACAAGGATCGCAACGAGAGCCTGATGCGCCTCGCCTGGGCGCTCGTCCACTCGAGAGAGCCGTCTAATGTTCTTCGAGGCATTGCGATGCTGGAAGGTCTGTGATGTTCTTTGTCGCCTTTGGTTGGATTTCTGGCAAGAATTTAGCTCGAGAGAATTTACAAACAGCTGCGTTTGATAAGAAGGCTGGACCGCTCCAAACGCGAGAGATTCTCTACTTACTGGCTGTTGGCCACTACAGGAATGGTGACTACGTCAAGAGCCGGCGATTGATCGAGCAAGCTCTCGAGGTAAACTTTCTCGTTCTCCTTGCAAGTTGTTTAAATCCTTTTCTCTCTGACGATTGAAAACTGTGTTTCTTCACAGATTGCTCCGGATTTTCGCCAAGCTTTGATGTTGAGGTCTCTGATCGAAGACAAGATCGCAAAAGGTTAGAACTTGTACTGGCTTTTCAAAGTGAGAAGTTAATTCCTGGTGTATTTCTCAGATGGAATTATCGGGGTGGGAATTGCGGCAGCAGCCGTGGGACTGGTAGCGAGCGGGGTGGCTTGTGTAGTGGCCTCCAGGAAACGATAACTTCGGACAAGTCCCCGTTATAATTATGGTAACGTTTTTTGTGTAAAGTGTATGCATACCAGATCCAATTCTATTTTACGTGAAGCATAGAGACGGCTTTGAATTCAATCGCCTAGAGTGGTCTCTGTGTGATTCTCTCTGAGCGAAAGCTAGGTTTGGTGATTGGTGACTTTAGTGATAAATTAAAGAAAATAAAATATTTAAAGTCATAAATTAAGAATTAATCATTTATAATAATAAAGAGGAGTTTCTTAATTCTCTGGGCTGCCAGATCCAACCAATGGCAGCCGTCTGATGGGGGTAACTCTTAAAAAGTTATTTCTTTAACCATGTCTCTGTAAATAGCTAATGGGAATTCCTTGGGAGAGAAGTAGCATGTAATGTGTTTGACTGGCATTGACAGTCAATTTTTTGAATTGTGTCAGATATTATAATTTGCTAGAGAAAACATATATTTATAATTACTTCCTTAATTCTTCTTTCAATTATTCTAATTTATTTTGAATGTAACAAAATTATAACAATCAAAACAGTATTTATTAACTAAGTAGCATATGTTAGATAATAGCAAATAATTTTTAAATATGTGAGGTCCAAGTGGCTGTATACTAATATTAGTATAATGGGATTCTAATAACTACTGGATTAGTTTTAATCCAGACCACTTGGTCCTGTATAATTTAAAATTTTTAAGTGTGAGTGCTTGGAGAGAATACAAAAAATATGCATATCCATTATCCCAAAAAACCCTAGCTTATATACAGGAGCGAGTAGTCCAAATTGAAACCAATCTAATGGCTACCAAAATCCCACTATGCTAATATTAGTATATGGCATCGTAACCATACACTTGGCCCTCACATCATCCCCTCCTCTCGGAATAATGGAAGACCATCAAGGTTCTCTTGTAAATGGGCCAGGATCTAGAGGAATGTCAGGAGGAGGCATCGGCAGATCTGTAGGTGGTAATTGCTCTTGATCCCTTTGTATGAAGCATTTCAACCGTTGCACATGCACAATCTTTGGAGGATAGGCCTGCTGGACATCATGCCGAACCTCATAAATTTGTGGTCCAACTTGCCGCAACACCCGATATAGTCCTTTCCATTGTGCAAGGAGCCCCTTAAATAAACCACGTACCATAAGATAGGGAAAACAAACTAACACCAAATCATCCACTTTGTACTCCGCAGGTGGATGGTGATGGGAGTTGTACCATCGTTGTTGTCCTACTTGTACACGGCCTAAGTGTTCAGCAGACTCCGGTCGGACAAGTGGAAGAATGCTCGTCAAATACTGATCCCATAACCTAGCATCCGTAGCTCGTGGCAATTGCGAAGGTAAACCTAACTCCGTTGGTAATATTGGATCATGACCATATAGGAATTTATATGGTGAAGCACCAATAGAACTCTGCACCCCTGTGACATATGCATACTAAAGAGATGGCAAATAACCATCCCAATCCGAATGCTAAAAGTTTACATACTTCACAATCATCCCTTGAATGTCCGAACGAGCCGTTCCACCAGATCGTCTGATTGTGGATGATAAGCGCTCGTGAAAGTGTGGCGTATCCCCAACCGAGACGTCAAAACATGAAATGCCTCAGCCATAAATGCGGGACTATTATCCGAAAGAATCTACTCTAGACAAGAATGCTGGAACACCACTCAACTGAGGAGGAAGTATCCAACAGCAATTGCAGAAGCGCTAGCAAGAGCACTAACTTCCACCCAACGAATTAGGTAGTCAGAAGCAATAATAACATACTCATTGCCAGCAATTGACCATGGAAAATGTCCCATAAGATCAAACGCCACCAACTCAAATGGATGGGAAATTGCAATTGACTCTAACCGTCCTTTCACAACCCAAGGGGGAGTATTACGAGCTTGGCACCAAACGCAACTATGCACATACCGGATAATATCACGTCGCATCTCCAGCCAATAGAAAGACTTGCGCAGCTTCTTAGTTACACGACGATGTCCCATATGCATACCTAGAATAGGAGAATCATGGTAGGCATGGAGAAACCGCGGAATAAAAATAGAAGGCACCACCAGCCGTAAATGATCATCAGGATCCGTCCCCATAAAATAAAGAAGGCCGTCTTCAAGGCAATATTGAGAATGTAAATGCCGGAAAGGCAAGTCATCAACAAGTGATGCAGGATTCTCAAACCCATCTCGAAGCTTTCAAATCCATGGCTCAAGCTTTTGAGCCTTGCGAACCTTGTCAAGAGAAGGTAGATCTTGCTCGGTGCCTTGTGGACACTGAACGTCAAGGACAGCAACCCCCGACAGCACAAAATCCTCGTTTAAAAAATCTACAAAGGCTGGAACAACAGGCTTGTCAGAAATATGAGAAGAGAATGGAGAAGGAAGAGGAGCTCGAGAAAGGGCATCAGCATCAGCCATAGAACTTCCTGGGCGATGAATAACATCAAAATCATATATCTGAAGCTTTAAAGCCCATCGAGCAGTACGACCAACCAGGTTCTTCCACTTCAATAATGAAGTAACAGTAGCATGATCACCTTCAAGTAACGTCCGAGAACCATGTAGATATGCATGAAGTTTCTCAAAACCCCAAACTGCTGCTAAACACTCCTTCTCTGTAGTAGAGTAGTTCATTTCCATTGGTTGTAATGTACGGTTTATATATGCAATGGGATGGCGCTGACTAAACACACTCGAGCTCTCTTGTATCAACACACCTCCAAGACCAATGTCAGAAGCATCCACGCGCAAAATAAAAGGTCAAGTGTAGTCAGGATATGCCAAAACTAGAGGAGTCGTCAATAGCTCTTTGAGATCCCCGAACGCCCGCTCACAATCCAAAGACCAGATGAAAGATGATGTTGATGACTTCAGCAATGCTCACAACGGTGCAGTGCAATCAGAAAGATGATCCACAAAACGACCAAGATATTGCACCTTGCCTAAGAAGCGTTGCACATCATTCACACACTTCGGAATAAGGAACTTTAAAACAGCCACAAGTTTGTCAGGATCAACTTGCAAACCCTCACGAGAAATACGGTACCCAAGATAAGTTGTATCCTTGGACCCAAACACGCACTTCGACCGCTTCAACTTTAAACCAATGTCGTGTAGTTGATCCAACACTTTACAAACATCACGAACGTGCTCCTCCCACGTCCCCTCTGAGTGGATCAAGACATCATCAATGAAGTCAGCAGTCACCTCCGGCATATCGCAAAGAACCTCGTCCATCATCCATTGGAAAGTTGCTGGAGCATTGTTCAAACCAAACGGCATCACCAAGAATTCGTACAAACTAAATGGTGTATGAAAAGCAGTCTTAGGAATATCTTCTTCAGCCATTGGTACTTGCCAGTACCCAGAAGCAAGATCTAGCTTGGTGAACCAACGACTTCACCCCAAACGATCCAAGAGATCAGCAGTGTGAGGAAAAGGGTACACATCTGGGATTGTCACTTCGTTTAACAAACAATAGTCAATGCAGAAACGAATACTCCCATCAGGCTTCATCACAAAATGAGGTTCACATGCCCAAGGACTCCGCGACTTCCGAATAACACCCTTCTCTAATATCTTCTTGACATTTGCACGTAAAATCTGGATCTCCTTGGGTGACTGACGACGAATAGGAACCTTGATTGGATGAGCATCCCCGGTTGGAATTGGATGATGTGTGGCAATCTTGGCCCCAGATGATAGGTCAAATTCAAAGAGATCAGAATACTCCTTCATGAGCCGGTCCACCGCTGCAACACAAAGATCGTCGGAGGGATCGGAAAATGGAAGAGCAGAACAAGATGGAAACATAAGAGGAAATAGTGGGGGAACAAAAGTAATGGAAACAGAGGTAAAAGTAGAGGGATAAACAAGGACGGAAGTAAAAAGAATGGATGAAACATAAAGAAGTATGAGACAAGGGGGAGAAGCCTCAAAGTCACACTTGGCATGATTGCGCTACAACCAATCCATACCATGAATGAGGTCAAAAGCTTGACTCAGCACCACCCGCAATGACTGCAACTCAAGCTCAAGATCGCCCACACGCACAACCAGGTCCGCCTCATCCTGTGCACATGCATGTGTACGGCCGTTGCCATAAAGAATGAAAACTGGTTCCACCGTACGATGCAAGTGTAGACAGCAACATGTGGCAATAGGTCGAGCAATAGAAGATAAACTCGAACCTGTATCAACCAACACGGAGAGAATAATAGGAGACCTCATGTTATAATAACGAATTTATAAAGTAAACACTGGATGAACTGGTGCCGAGTGATGATACACCCGAAAGAAAGATGGAAGGGTCACTGACTTATTTGCCCAAGGTCCCTTCGTTACTCGCGTGACTCCTCATTTCCCAGATGCATCTCGGTGTCCAAACCTTCCACTGCAGTAGCACCAACGGGACATTGCTGACGCCAAGGTCTCCACCCAGGAAATGGAGGTCGCCAATCCGGAAAACTCCGACAATGCCGATAAGTATAACTAATTTCATCACACACCCAGCAATGAACATCACGGCCATGACCACATCCTCGCCCTTGTCCTTGGACTCGAGCAGAAGCAGCATCAACCTCCATTGGAACAGGACCATCACTTATAAGAAGAGGAGCTGAATGATGTGTAGCAAGAAGTGGAAGAGGCGATGTCTCATAACGTTGTGCCAAGCAAAGAGCATCGTTAAGGGTGGCAGGAGCAAGTGCATGCACAAGTCCGACAAGATTTTGATGAAGTGCTGGCCACAACATTCCTAGCTTGATCCACTCCGACATATTTGGCTCCGCACAAAGTAAAAGACTTCGAAAACGAATGCCAAACTGCATCACCAACTCAGATGGCCCTTGGCGAAGATGATGCAATTGTTGGAAATCATCATCACAATCATCGGCATGTCCGAAAGCGCGTTTGAAGACATCTGAAAGAACACTCCAATCCCCGTGAGTGGTGGCGCCCAAACTGTTGTACCATTGCAATGCCGTCCCTTGGAGACACGTGGGAAACTCATGCAAACGTCGAGCATCATCCCAATAATGATATGTGGCAATCATCGTGAAGTGATCAAAGCAATGGTACACATCATCCCCAGGATTCCCGCGAAAGAACTCTGGCCGAACGCGAGGATTGGCACAAAGAGCAGGAGGACTTGTACCATATGCCATGAATGCCACTATCAATTGAGTTTGGTTGTTCAATTGCAAGCGCATAGCATCAAGCAATTATACCAACTGCTACTCCAGAGTCAAAGGAGGAGATTGCTGATCTGCCATGAAGACGAATGAAAAAGAAAGAGCAAAAAAAGAGAAAAAATCTAGAAGGAAATGGTAGATCTAGGCAATGCAAAAAGCTAGATCTAAACCAAAATCTTAAAAGGAAAAAACAAAAGAAAGGAAATGAAAAAAGCTAGATCTAGACAATGCAAAAGCTAAATCTAAACCAAAATCCCAAATCCAAACACTTCTTAGGGACAATCAAAGGTGCCCTTTAACTCCACCAATGTGAGTGTTTGGAATATGGAAAAAGAATATAGAAAATATGCATATCCATTAGTCCAAAAAACCCTTGCTTATATATAAGAGCGAGTGGTCCATATTGAAGCCAATCTGACGGCTACCAAAATCCCACTACGGAGCTGAAGGTGGCTGAAAGTGGCATTTCCGTGGTTGCAACAAAAAAGGATATGAGGCATGCCTTAGATTCCTCAAAACTCACATTTTACAAAAAGTATCCTCATACTCGTCCAGAGAGAGCAAGGTACTAATGGATATCACTTGGATATCACTATGTATATTTATATTTCATTTTTTATTAGGAAAAGAAGCTTGTGCCATTCGGGAGAGAAAAGCTGGAAAACATTTTTGTTTGCTTCAACAAGAATGTCGACGGGAAAATCGAAAAAGATGAACTGGAGGCATTCATGGTTGGCCTTGGGATCGAAACAAACAGGTACATGAGTCCCATTCTTTTGTCGCTCATTGTTTTGAGCACTTATTGTTTCGATTATATCAATATATATATAATTCCATTTTCATATTTTTGTAAGCAACCAATGAAAATGACTTGGAAGATGATCTATCGGGTTCAAATATAGAGAAAAGGGCTTATGAATAAGAGTGCACTCCCTTTTTAATCGGTTAAAAGTCGGGATATTTAGAATTAAATGTCATTAGGTTTGAGTAATACTGAATTGGGTGAACTCTCAAGAAGTTTAAACTCAAGAGTTTATATTTGATATCAAAGAGGTTTCAAGTCTGACTTTATTAGTTAGCTAAAAGAATCCCACTACATGTTAATTAACATTTGGCAAGTCTAATTTACTCCAACTAAAGTTTACCCGAGGGGTAGGGTGTTAATAGAATAAGGTTTTTAGCAAAGTTGTGATTTTTAACTTCTATTTATGAACTTACGTGGAAGTGTGGTGAATTGTAAACAATCAAAGAGAATTATTTGAAAAATGATCCATAAAATTCAAAAATAAAAGGAAAAGGGCTTATAAATAAATTTTGGTGATGTCATATTGTCTGGGATGACATGTCATGGCCCATGCATACATGGTATGCCCCATGACAAAAATACTATACACACAATCATGCTTTGATTGCTTAATCAAAAAGTGATTGTTAGCATAATATTTTTTGCATGAAATTTTTAAAAAAAACATCCACACATTTGTAAATATATAATACTCCCATGTGCAATCATATATTCATTGCTATAGATTCAATCCAATGCAAATTTCTCAAAGCCAGAGCCAGATAGATCATGCAACAATTCAATCAATGCTAATAGAGCTCCACTTTAGCACCATTGAGCTCTTGTTCTTGGCCAAACTAAAAATATCCACGAATATTTTTGGTTTGCAAATATAAAATATCCAAAAAGTTTGGCGAAGTTTCAAAAGTAACAAGGTCAGGAGCTCCTCAATAGTGCCAAGTGGAGCTATGCTGCTGCTGCCTGAATTGTTGCATGATCTATCCAGCCCTGAGAAACTTGCATTGGATTGAGTCAACAGCAAAACGTCAAATCCAACCAAGAGCAATGGGAGCTGGTTGATCAGTAAGCATTGAAAGAACTTGTGAAAACTGGAAGAGGGAATGGATTATTGGAAGAATTTAGCAAAATAAAGCAAGAAAAAAAAAAGAAAAAGCTACTCGTTAAAGAAAACAAAAAAGAATGAAAAGCAAAAAGGAAAAACAACGTCTTAACTCTCACACCGGTGAATAATCCATTAAATCACCTTTTCAGGGATCTAATGGTCTCTAGGGTTTAGTCGCGAGTTGTGAATAGGTATGGCAAAGGAAGAAAAGAAGAAGTCCACACGGAGGTACGCTCCTTACAAAGCCAGGACGTCCAAGAACCGAAGTCATGACATTGTGGAGATCTTGAGCAGGCTGAGGTACGCTCTGGTGTACGAAGATGGCAGAGTCTTGGAGGTCTGGGACATGGAGAGGGATCGCTTTGTCAACTACAAGCTGCCATATCCGTCCCAGATCAAAGGTAATTTGTGTGGAGCCGCGGGTGGAATCCTCTTCTTCAAGGAGCGGACAACTATATCGGCTTGGAATCCGGTGACTGGCTTCACCAAAGAGATCGATCCTCCATCACTGGACGCGGAGTTTCTCGTTATTGCAACGCCTATGTCCCACAGGCTGTGCAAGCTAAACTCGAGCCTCAAGCTCGAGGCAGTGGACGACGCTCCCCCGGCGCAAGAGTGGACGGGGATGTGCTACCTGGGCGATCGATTCAACCACGACTCGGGCATCAGGCTCGAGTGTTCCACACGCCTGATGTACTCCCACGTCCTTGACACTTGCTCTCTGCAAGCGCTGGACGTTTCGAAAGCCCACATTCTGCCAAGAACAATTGGTGTCCCCAGGCCCGTCAAAGGGCGCAGCTTTCATCTCCCTCCCAGCGCCGGGAGCGTCAAGTACCGCTTCTTCCAGCTCGAGCACGACGTTTTCGCGTGTGTTTCCATGGAAAAGCGTTTGCACTTCGAAGGGTGCGTGAGGATCTGGCTCTACACCCCCAACAAGAAAAGAACGAAGTTGGGAACATGTCCGGCTTGCCGTGCTACAAGGATGTCCCAGGGGCGCGTGGATCTGGAGCAGCCTTTCTGCGCTTGCAAGAGCAACGAGAACTGGGAGGATGTATCGAGATTGCCGGACAAGTACGTGCATGGGCTGATGGCGGAGTCGGGCTCGCAGGGTGGCGGCTGCAGCTGGTTTGCCTTTGGGACGGGTAACGTTGTTTTGGTGGCTTTTGTTTCCACCAGTGGCGATTTGAGTGGTTGCAAGGACGTGTTTTGCTTCAAGCTGGCGTCAAGAGATTGGAGTCGTGTGGCCAATCCATTCAAAAGATCTCATGGTGTCAAATGGAACAACATGAGCTCCTGGTGCCCGAGCTACTATGATCTCGACATGGACTAAGGGATATAGCATATATCCAGGGACATTCTTGTCTCAGTAACAGCTGTGAAGTTAATAAGAACACAACCAAAGAATACAAGATCTTATCAAAATTCAACACAAGATCTTGCCTTGTTACTCCAGCTAATCAAAGTCAATCGATCGCTGCTCCACTGTCCTCCATTTTGTGAGAACGGCATCGTCTCCACGATCTTCATCGCTTCTTCCAACCTGATTCCCACGGCCCAGAGAACCGGTATGCTCTGGAGCACTGGATCGATCTCGTACTGATCACCACGTTGGTTTTGAGGCGGCCCTTGTCTTCCAACCTTTAAAACTGAGAAAACACGAGCTCGGTGCTTCAACCTGCTAGGAACGCGTATCCGGTCTAGGAATGGAATCAAATACCTGGTGAGCTTGAGACATGCTTCCACACTTGCCGTAAACATCCACCAGAGAATTTGCAACGATCTCATGGAACAGCGACAGATTTCTCCGTGAAGTTTCCGTTCACTTTGCAGCGCTACCAGATTCGCAGAAGCATTGAGAGCAGCCACAAAAGTTCCAGAATCGGGCCGTCACGCTGCACACGAGAGAACAAGTTTAGAGCCATCGCGACGTCACCGTTTTCTACATACCCCAACATCAAAGTGTTACCATGCATCCACCATGGTCGAGTACATTTCCACCGCGCGTTCATCACAAGGAGGTCCAAAGGAAACCCTTGCTCTTCGGCTTTTGAGTGAATGGCAACTCCTTGCTTCAACGAGAACGACATTTCCATCAACATCCTCGCCCTCCTCTTCCGCCGCCTCCCGCAGGCCTTCAAAGCAGCAACTTAATTCAGAGAAATCGGGATTCAAGAGACAACTTACTTTCGACTTGTTCGGCACCATCGTAGTTCCACGGCCTTCATCTCCTGCGGTTTTCAAGCTCCATACCACGAAAAGGTCCGAGCCATAGCCACGCTTCGCCGCTTGCTCTCGAGCTTGAGGGTCTTCCCTTGCCTTCTTCTTTTCCGAGGGACAAGTGCATCGTTCTAGCATCTGACGAGCAGATCAAACCATGCTCAACGTTCCACATCACAACATCATCGTGGACAGAAGTCCTCTCGAACAGCCTGCGACCATCCATGTAGTATCGAGGTCCTGACAAAACAGTTCGTGTCACCGCAGCCTCAACATGAACAAACATACCTTTCGAGCTTGTCCGAGCAGTGCCTTTGCATGGATGTCTAGTCCCGTCCCTTAAAGCATCCGCTACGAAATCTCCTCAAACGGCTCCATTCTGTCAAAAACCATTCGAGCATCAGTCATCGCCGAAATGAGCTCGAGAACGATTCCCCAACAGCAAGGCATTCCACACGACGACGTCGAAATTCTGGACCGATCGAGCGATTGATAGGGATTTGGGAAGGAGGAGAGCGTTCCTGTAGCGGAGGGGAGATTATCTTGTCGCGGAGCTTCAGCGAGGACTTGCTAGTCAGAGAATTCCACACCCGAGCTTGTCCTACCGCATTGCTTCAATGCGCTCGCCATGATCCTCCCTTGAGTAAAGAACCCTAGAAATCTTTTAAATATGGAAGTCCAAGGAATCGAACTCCGCCTGAGGTTTAAAGTTCCCCCCTTCTTCTCTTCTCTTCAATCTGGCATTCCTCCGGGGGCAAATTCTAGGGCGCGACGATCGTTCCGGTTGAGCTTTCTCGCCCAGGCAGGTGCACTCCTGCCTAATATTCTCGCTTTCTCTAGCTTTCTCGCCATTCTTGCTCGATCTTATTGTGCGAGCGATGATCTTGTTTGTTCTTCGCGATTGCAGTGCCACAGCAGAGCCAGACAACCATCGCGATCTGGTTTGTTGTCGGATCGTGCCAGGCAAGTAGAATTTCTCGTTCTTGCTCGATATTTTGATCGATGATCTTGTTCTTGCGCTTCCAGTACCGGCCAGTGCCACACCGGAGCCAGACATCGATATTTCAATCTTATGTGCGACCGATGATCTTGTTCTTGTGGAATCACAGCGGAGCCAGACATCCATCGCGATCTGGTTCATCGTCGCATTCGCATCGTGCCAGGCAAGTGGAATTTCTCGCTCTCTTCATTCATGTGCGATTGTCGACCAATGATCTTGTTCTTGCGCTTCTGTGCGATTCTAGTGCCACGGCGGAGCCGGACATTGGACATCAACCATCGCGATCTGGTTCGTCTTTGCATCGTGCCAGGCAAGTAGAATTTCTCCATTCTTGCGAGCTGATATTCGTTCTTATTCGCGACCGATGATCTTGTTCTTGCGCTTCTACGTGATTCTAGTGCCACAGCAGAGCTGGACATCGGGCATCAACCTTAACAGGCTGTGGCTCGCCTATTAACTTGATCCAACCATTGGCAGTTATCGGATCGAATCAGGTTTTTTGCGAGAACATGGCTGACAACTGCCAGGTTCTCCAGAACCCAGCTGCCAGCTGCCAGGTTCTGGAGAACCAGGTTACCAGCTGCCAATTCTGGAGAACCCTCTCATCCTTGAATAACATTCTTCCACATGTCCGTTAACAGTCTCACCACAGCCTGTTAAGGCTGTTCCCGGGCATGGGCTCGCTCGTTCCCTCCAGAACGTGCTCGCCGGGCTAACACCCGGCTCGCCCGTTCTAGGTGGGAATGTGCTTGCCCTACCCAGGAACTGCCTCATCAAGATCTGGTTCGTCTTTGCATTGTGCCAGGCAAGTAGAATTTCTCCATTCTTGCAAGCCGATATTTGTTCTTATTCGCGAGTGATGATCTTGTTCTTGCGCTTCTGCGCGATTCCAGTTCCACAGCGGACATCAACAACCGCGATCTGGTTCGTCTTTGCATCGTGCCAGGCAAGCAGAATTTCTCCATTCTTGCAAGTCGATATTCGTTCTTAGGTGACTGATGATCTTGTTCTTGCGCTTCTGTGCGATTCTAGTGCCACAGCGGAGCCAGACATCAGACACCAACCACCGCGATCTGGTTCATCTTTGCATCGTGCCAGGCAAATAGAATTTGTCCATTCTTGCGAATCGATATTCGTTCTTATTTGCGAGTGATGATCTTGTTCTTGCGCTTCTGCGTGATTCCAGTTCCACAGTGAAGCCTGACAGCGGCCATCAACCATTGTGATCTGGTTTGTCTTTGCATCGTGCCAGGCAAGTAGAATTTCTCCATTCTTGGAGTCAATATTTCATTCTTATTCACGAGCGATGAGGCAGTTCCCGGGTAGGGTGAGCACGTTCCCGCCCAGAACGGGCGAGCCGGGCATTAGCCTGGCGAGCGCATTCTGGAGGAACCAGTGAGCCCGTGCCCGGGAATGACTTTAACGGGCTATGGCGAGACTGTTAATGGGGAAGAATGTTATTCAAGGATGAGAGGGTTCTCCAGAATTGGCAGCTGGTAGCTTGGTTCTCCAGAACCTAGCAGCTGGCAGCTGTGTTCTGGAGAACCTGGCAATTGTCAGCCACGTTCTCGCAGAGAACCTAACTCTATCCGGATTAAGTTAACAGGTGAGCCACAGCCCGTTAAGATCGCTTTTGAGCAATTCCAGTGCCATAGCGGAGCCGGACATCGAGATCCACTAGCGCGATCTGGTTCGTTGTCACATTGTGCCAGGCAAGTGAAGGTTTCCCTCTCTCGCCATCTTTAGTTCTTATTGTGCGAGCAATGGCACTTCTGTCAGATTTCAGTGCCACAGCAGAGCCGATCAACCATCGCAATATCTGGTTCTCACTCCGTCAGCTCATCATGCCAGGCAAGTAGATTTCTTGCGCTCTCTATTCTCTTTCTTATCGTGCAAGCGATGATCTTGTTCTTGCGATTTCAGTGCCACAACGGAGAGCCTGACATCGAACATCAACCAACGCGATCTGGTTCTCACACCGTCGTTGGTTCGTGCCAGGCAAGTAAACTTTCTCGCTCCCTCCATTCTTGCGATATTTCGTTCTTATTTGCACGTTTCCAGTGCCACTGCTATACGAGCGATCTTGTTGGTGTGCTTATTTGCAATTCCAGAGAGCCTGACATCAAACATCAACCATCGTGATCTAGTCAACTATCATCGTATAGTCACAACACAGGCAAGTAAAATTTCCTGGCAGGATCATTCTTTTTATCTAGATTCATCTCTCACTTCTGCTTAGAACAGAATGGATCTCATGTTACTACCAGACAAACCAGAACTTCCTTACACAGTTTGGCGACCAACAAAAATATCTGACCACCATAAAAAATGTAAAGTGGTGCTTCTCATAAAAGAAATCATAATGAAACTCTTCCATTGGAGTGGTTTTGTCTTAAAACCAGAAGCCCACACTATGGAAACCAAGGCGTGGCTTTTTAATAGCAGGTATTAACATGGTTTCTTTGGCTCCAAAACTAACATTTGAATTGTAGGCTTTATCCCATGCTATGCAAGCTTGTCTTTGCAAAACGAAGCAAAAGCTACCTCGACTGCTCTCCAGGCTTTTGGAGCATTGCTCTACACACAATTCCAGGCTCTCCTTTTGTTGAGCTATTCACAAAAATCCCATGGTGAGTTTTTACTCTTTCTGTTTCTTTTATCATAGGGATTGACTTTCCATTCCAGGATACTGTTGGGAGGCTTTCCAAGTCTTGTCCCACTCCGAGCAGAGTACGCTTTCTTTTGGGTGGCCATACGAATGGCTGGAGTCTCTGGTTTTTCCGCAAATTGTTCCCGTTTCAAGAGATCAACTATTAAAAGCTCAATGAAGAGAAGAGGTACGTTCATGGCTGTGTGAAGTCAATTACAATTTCTCTTACAGGAAGAGTGACTGAACTGTTGCCAAACGTCGAAATTGAGTGAGATCGAATTCCATTTTTTTTATATCCCGTGGCTTTCGGCGGAGAATTGTTCTTGTGTTCGTCCGGCCTTGTCAGAACTTATCGAGTCCCACGGCTGCTGAGGAAGATGCAAAAATTAACTTCTCTGAAAGCCAACCTTTTGCAATCTTGTTTTCTATCAGAGACCTCAATATCAAAGCTTGGAGCAATCGAATCTGCGAAGAAGGATAGCTTTCAGTCGAGCGAAGAGAATTAAACAACTTGCGAGCAGGAAAACGAGAGAGTTTGCGATCGTACCTCGAGAGCTTGCTCGATCAATCGCCGGCTCTTGACGTAGTCGCCATTCCTGTAGTGGCCAAAAGCCACTGAGTAGAGAATCCCTCGCGTTTGGAGCGGTCAGCCTTCTTATCAAACGCAGCTATTTGTAAATTCTCTCGAGCTAAATTCTTGCTAGAAATCCAACCAAAGGCGAGAAAGAATATCACAGACCTTCCAGCATCTCAATGCACGACCGCCCAGGCGAGGCGCATAACTCCGTCCTTGGCGACCTCACCGCTGAAAATCGTTGCTCTCCCTGGTAAAAAGTCCTAGGGTTCTCAAAAAAAAACGCCAACGTAAATGCATTATTCCTATTTCTGGTTTAAATAAATCAGAAAAAGGCTAAACTTCCAAGTGCTAATTTGGAACTTGTCTTACAAATTACCCCCTCCCTAATTTTACTTTTGGAGATTGATTTCAAATCATATAGAGCTAGATCTAAGCATATGGGCGTCATTCCCTTGGGGGTCATTCAGGAGCTCTAGCAATTCGAATTCTCCTGCCTTATATATCTTAGGGTTTCAAAAAGGATGCTGGAAAACCCGGGAGAATTTAAATTTGTATTTAGTTTAGAAAATACAATTTCAAAACCCGAGAAAAAGAGGAAACGTTTGAATGGGATAATCTTGGGGCGTGTATAAAACCAACCAATTCGTGAGGTGCACTCAAAGACTGGGCTCTTTGATGGGAGCCATGGCCACTGGCCATGACCGTACGGAGCACGTACGAACCCGAGCCTGGCCCAGGCCCGGCAGCGGTTTTGCGGTTTTGTTAATCTTGGGCGAGCGGTTAAGTCAAAAAAGGATGGTTTTTACCCTCGAATTCTTATCGCGGGAATATCTCGGCCGTCGGATCGCCTCCGTACGGCACGCCGACGGACGTGATCATCCGGGGGTGACCGGCAGTTGCCGGTGGTGTACCTCATCTCCCCGTATCTCTCATTTTCCGGTAGACCCTATACCCTATGTTTTTTGTGTGTTCTTCGATGTTGCGAGGTTTTTCTTCTCCGCAGTGATCTCCCCCTCGCTTCTTCTTCCAAGATCTTCGACGAGGCGGCGTAATTTCGCGGGCGCGATCCTGTTGCGTGCGCGATCTGTTCACGCCCCAATTCGCCCAGATTCGGGCAGAGGTTTATGGTTTACCGGGGGTTCTGCCAATGATACAGTATCGAGGCGCGGCAATTGGAGCAAGATCTGCGCTGCCGGCAGCCGATTGATCCCAGCTTCCCCTGGAATGTGAGTATTTTCCTGGAATGGATCCACAGAATCGAGGCAGTGGGAGCGCTAGGTTATTGGGATACACGAGTAGGCTCGCCAGGCCGCGGTCAATGCGTGCGCGACGAGTGCGCTGTCTCAAGGTTTGTATCGTTCTTCCATTTGAGCGGAATTTTCGAAAGAAGAGAGGAAAAATATTTTGCTACTAATTTCGTGGGTTTGTCTTCCAGGAGAAGAGCGGTACGATCCAGCAAGTGAAGCAGGGTACGGAGTTCTTTGAACTTCTGGCAGCGGTTGCTGGGCAGTTCCTTCAAGATGGAGGCGAACCGGAGCGCGGTGGTGATGGATCCAAGCCGGCCTCCAAGCATGGTAAGTTTGGAGCATTCTTTCTCTTCTTTTTCGCTTGTGGTCGGTTGTCTTGAGTTGGTTTTTTATCTTATGGTTTTTTCGTTTTCCTCTTTTGCTTACCTAGGTGGTTCGTTTCGCAAGAGACGGTACTCTTCTTTCTCACACAAAGGATCAAAGAGGACAAAGGCAGCGGACGATCTGGGGAGCGCGTCGCAGGCATCTCCAAGTATGATGAGCCTCGACTTTGAAGGTTGGTCTAGTCAATATTGTCTCTCCTTTTTACTGTTCTTACTGCTGCCGTACTTGCAGCCAAGCCTGGTACCTCCACCCCGACGTTGAGTGGAGCGTCTTCACCTCGGAAAACAGGTAACTCTTCTAACCTTTTACTTTGCTGGAGCGTTATTTTAGCTTTCTCATGTCTGTGGTGGTTGGTTGGAGCAGTCAAACTGAGCATCAAGTCATTCACGGTTCCGGAGCTGCTCATTGATATGCCCGAGTCCGCTACGGTGGCTAGCCTCAAGGCAAGTTGAAATACCTCTCCGCGTCATGAAATAACCTCGTGCCTGCTGTGCACAGAAAGCGGTTTTGGACGCAACTACTAATCTCTTGGGTGGCGGCCTGAAGATCCGTGTGTTCTTGCACGGGAAGAGAGTCCCAGATGAAGAGGCCACGTTAGCCCAAGTTGGTCTTTCCCAGAATGGCAAGGCTGGATCGCTGGGCTTTATGCTAGAGCCGGCGTCTTCCTCGAGCTGTGAGGGGCCGCTTTTGGCGCTATCTCAGCAGGGATCATGGTAAGGAGAATTACAAACGAAATGGTGGCTAAATCGCATGTTTGAACTACAGGTACACAGCCGACGGTAGCTGGGTGGTGGAAGATCAGGAGAAAACGGAAGATAACGCCGAGCAGAAGCCGGACATTGACGCGAAATGGACTGGTACTCATCTGGTTTTACAGGGCTATAAGAACAAGTTCCAGAGTGTGACTGATGAAAGAACATATAAAGCACGGTTCGGGGAAACCACATCACCACAGCCGGACATCAAGCAGTGCGAGGCTACCAGTCCATCGCTGATGCGAGCTTTGCCTCTTTCAGAAGCCGAAGGCCCTGGAGGACTAGTGCAGCGCGCGGCGGACAACTCGCAGGGCTTGGCGCTGGTGTCGCTGCAAAAGCAAATGTCGCTGGAAGGCACGAAGAGAAGGATACGGAGGCCGTTTACGATCGCCGAGGTGGAAGCGCTCGTCTTCGCCGTGGAGAAACTCGGCCTTGGAAGGTATGGGCTTTTCGCTTTTTCTTTTCGTTTTTTTTATTCCTGTTACTTATCCAACCTCCATGTGTGCCTCGTGTCTCGTGTAGGTGGCGCGACGTGAAGTTATGGGCATTTGATCAAGCAAAGCATCGCACTTATGTCGACTTGAAGGTAAAGCATCGGTTTTTTCTTTCTCCCTCGCGCAAAGTCTCATAAACGCTTGCTGGTTCTAACAGGACAAGTGGAAAACTCTCGTGCACACTGCTCGGATCGCTCCCCACCAACGCAGGGGCGAGCCAGTGCCGGAAGAACTCCTGGAGCGAGTGATCAAAGCACAGGATTACTGGACTGCGAGGCAGGCCAAGCAACAAGCCGAATCAACCGCGGCAACTTAACTTCCACTACCTCGTGAGGTACTGCTGGGCTGTGTACATAGATATATAGATGATCCAACACCACCAGGCTAGCAGCTCTTGGAAGTAATACTAGCGTTACCTTAACATCGTCATCGCCATCATCGTCAACACCACCACACAGATCAAAACTCTTCACTCTCTCGACTCCAACTCTACTCTCAAGCTAAACACCAACGAAAGAAGAAAAAGAAAAAAAACAGGAAGAAGAAGACCATTCTTTTATTTTTATTCTTGTTGTATCACCTCTTTAACTCCCCAATTGTTCTGTACATCTATTTGTATAGCAGCAATAAACATCTATACAAAAACAAAACAATAGAAACATCAACATTGTGAAAAAATGCAAAGAAAAAAAAAATCGTTACTTTAGAAGATCTCTTCTCTACACGCATAAAATATGAGAGTGTTTTACGTACGCGACTGTTCTTCTTGGATGGCTCTTCACTCGGCGGCTGCTTGCACCGAGGAGTCGTCGTATTGCCACGGGTTGAAAGTGATCCCTGTCTGATCCACTCTGTCGCCGCTGGATTCCGCCTCGACCTTGGCACGGTGCTCCGCGTACTTGCCGTTGAATTCGTAGATCTCCAAGTCACCCCACGGCGTCGTACTGACATCTTCCGTGAGAGTAAACCACTTTGGCGTGAACTTCTCGGATCTCGACTCACGGACTTTCTTCTCGGCTCGCTGCTTGTCTTCCATCCTAAGTAAAGAGCATTTGGATTAAGTCAATGTCAATCGAGAGTGCTCGAAACGAAAGAGAAAAGTGTGCTAACCTTGACTTCTCAGAGCCGGCTTTGCTCATCTCGCCCTTCTCCAGAGCGTAACGGTCCGGTCTCAGGCGTGAATCCGACGGAAGTAGCCCGTTTGGCGCCGTGTCGAAGCTGTTAATCTTGTGAGCAAAATGCGTGTACTGGAACTTATCGTTCTTGGGAACGTCCGCTACTCTCCACACCTGCATCAATTACAACCAGGTAAAAGATCCCTATATAACGATTCTCCATATCGCTCACCTCCTTCAGCTCAGATCCTGCTAACGGCTCGCCTTCGGAATCGCAGGGCTGGTAACTCATAAATGAGTTCCACTTCCCCGTAAGCAGAAGCTTGGGCTCCTCGTCCTTGTTGTAAACGTAGCCATCGACCTCATAACGACCAGATCTTTGCAAACAAACAGTAAGTACTACGCACATCAAAGAAAGACTCTGATTTTACCCAAACCAGCCACAGGGTTGAAAATAAAGGATCACTTTGTCGCCAGTCGTGAGATTTGTCACAACATAATCTCCGGGAGAGTCTATCCACGTTCTGCCAAATATCAAATTATGCACCTTTGTTGGTGGCGGTACTAGATCAAGTACCACGCCAGATTTTTTTAGCACAACTCGCGTCCTGAGAAAAAAGAGGCTCAGCCAACATTTTCAGGCATCCAGAACAAAAATCTCACCTTCCAACTGGGTAAACGTCGACAGAATTCCCGAGAAATTTTGTTTTCAGCTTCGAGGTGATGTCATAGGTGAAGTGCTCGTTCTCCGCATGTCCAGAGCTCATCGGAGGATGGTGACTGACCTACAGAACAAAAACTTATAGAAGACCAGCCACAAAAGCGAGGAGATCAAAAGCACCTGCTCGGCGAGGAACGTTATGCCACTATGATTCACCATTTCATACGTCTCCCCGAGAATAGGATTGAAAGGCTTCCACGGCCGCTCGTAAGCATAATATACAGAGATAGCCCAGCACGCTGTAGAAGAAAACAATCCGAATCAGCACCCCAGGCTGAGAAAGAAAGAGAATTCACCACTTACAAGCATAGACCATCCTCAAGTATGGATCTTCGCACTGATCAGCGAGGTCCAAAAGGTGTGCATACTCCATCAACTGTAGATAGAATTTACAGCTTTGCATCAAGGAAAAAGTTTTTCTTTACCTCGGCCATTCTTTGGAGCATCGTCATGGGCTCAAAAATCAAAACTGGCAGTGTCACCATGGAAGTGACGTCCGATCCAATATACTTGTGCATCATTTTCCAGTAGCTCTCACGATCCTATCGATCGTAAAGACCAAAGAGTGAGGAAACAAACAAAAACAAGTATTGAAAGAACAAGAAAAAGAACAAGGGAAGACTTACTTCTTGCTTGAAGCGGCCTTTGAGTGCTTCGCTCTCGGCATCCTCTTGGCCGCCTTCGGGATTGATAACCTCTAGACCCTCCACGCCGCCCAGCATACTGGACAGAGATTCCTTCAGCTCTAGCTAGAATTGGACGCTGGATCTGATCGATAGATACGCACCTGGAGACCGTGGCGCTGCTCCACGACCTAATGCTCGAGATCCTGTTCGAAATCGCGGAGAAAAATCCGCCATTCGCGTTGCTCGCCATCGCGGCGCAAGACGATCGAAATATTTCGCCCTCTCTCTTTTCCAGGGTTTCTTGGAAGATGCCCGGGGATATTCCGAGCGCGTGAGATGGGACGATCGTACGGATGTGGAAGAACTGCAAACAACGGCTATGATTGCTAGATACTTTAAATTCGTAAAGTGCGAGAATATTCACCAAGAGATGGTTAGTTTTTAATTTTCATTTTATAAAGTAACTCATATAACTCAATTATCTATTTAATTACCTATTGAATTGTACATCCAGAGGTGTTGAGGAAGGATTCCAGGTTCCATAAGCCCAACACCTTGTATCTAAATCATATGAGAATGAGTACGTTTCATGTACATGACAACAATGTCCATAAAAGTTCAAGTAGTTATCTGCTTGACCACCAAAGCTGATATGCAATCCTTGCAAACCTTGAACCACATCCGTACTCACCACAGCAATCTCACTGCCTGTCTCTGCACAAACCTCCTTAACTACAAACATACACTTGTCTTTCAGCCACACCATGTAGAGCTTCTCCCTCCAGCTAGCCAGGCAAATGAACTTACCCTCCGTGACAAGACGGAGATCCTTGATTGTGATCGTGTTGCTCGCCACATCAAACTCAACAATCTGACGATGGGAGGCATCTATACAGGCCAATTTGTTTTGTATGAGCACCAGATCACTCAGTGGAGAGGTTTCAATCGTGATGGATTTACACCATTCTGCCTGGCCGCAAGTGAAGGTGAGGATGTTGCCACTCCAGAACCACACCACAACCTTGAACTGCTCCTCGGCAGTGGCCAAGAGGATCACCCTCGAAAAGTCCAAGAAAGGGATCTCTTCCCACCTGTTGGCAAAGGGATTCCCAACGTAGAGTTTTCTGGCCTTTGTAGAGCGAGCGAGGACGAGGCGCTTGTCTTGGGAGACAACACACAGCCAGTCGGGAACGTTGTCACTGCGAGGTTTCCAGTGCATCACCTTGCCACTGCTGTCCCGGATACGATTGGTTTCCGGGTAGCAGAACCTAGCGCTGTCCTTGTAGGAGCTCCGGAAGCTGGGCTCGTCCACGGCTGCTTTCCACGCGCGGCACACGCATCTGGAGGTGAGGACACCCGAGAATGGAAGCTTGCACAGGATTTCTCCCACAAGCTCAGGCCGATATTCCTGTGCCATTCTTTGTTGACGCCATAAGGAAACGAACCCTAGGCCAACTTCCCCAACCCTTTTCAACTTTAAATACCTCAGGCATAAAACATTCTCAAAATATTCTCATAGCAACTCTTATTTAAAGTTTGAGAATAGGTTTGAGGGTGTTTCACCCCCGATGCCTTTAATCATTCGCTTTACCCCACAAGAGTTCCAACCATCCTGAGGGAAATTATTCAGGAGAAGAAAATGCAATGAAAATCAAAAGAAAGAATAGATCTAAGCACAACAATTATTGATGTACGAATATTCACTTCGGGGCAATTAACGGCTGCGATCGTTATAATTAAGCTGAGAATATTCGCCATTTTTATATTTTTAGGGCTCTTCCGCATTTTTGTAGCTTTGAGTGGATTAGATCACTAGGCAGCGATGGATCTGATCGATCTGGGATCCAGCATTTCTCCTCTGCTGTGCTGCTAGGGCGTACAAGAGAAGAGGTCGATGGGATGCGTCCTGGGCGCGGCGCGGGATAATCCCAAGTGCTACCTGGATATTTCGGCAGCTGGGGAATCGCTGGGGCGCCTGGTGATCGAGCTGCGCAAGGATGTGGTTCCAAGAACAGCGGAGAATTTCCGGGGCCTGTGCACGGGTGAGTATGGCGCGTCCTATAGGGGGAGCAGCATTCACCGGATTGTCCCAGGCTACGTTGCGCAGGCAAGAGATCTAGATCTGTGTGCGAGCTTGCGCTGAGATTTCTATTCTTCTTCCCAGGGGGGAGATTGTGGCAAATCGATCTATGGGAAGAGATTCGAGGACGAGAATTTCAAGCTCTTGCATACTTCCAAAGGGACGCTTTCCATGGCAAACAATGGCCCTCACACCAATGGTATAGCCCCTTGTTCTTTCCAAAATCTCTTGGATTCATCTCTTATTTGATCCATTCTCTTGGTCTCAGGGACACAATTTTTCATCTCTTTGGGTAAATGCAAGCAACTAGATGGAAAGCACGTCGTGTTTGGCAAAGTCATCCAAGGTATAGTGCTCGTACTTTTGTACTTTTCTTTTTTACCTTCTACTACCACAGTGTAAAGTTCTCGCTACGTTGATTTTCAGGCATTGAGCTTTTGGACTCGCTGGGCAACTTGGGGAGTAGCGAAGGAAGAACGATCAAAGAAGTAAAGATCCATGACTGTGGCGAGCTAGTTCAGTAAATACTGTTGAAAAGAAAAACTATTCTCCTTTTCATACCTGTGAAAATAGGATATAGCGCAACAATATATAGCAAAGAGCCAAGCAACAGTGGAGTTGCTTCAAAGCTTAAATATATCTCAGATATACCTTGAGAGAAAGATCAAAATACAATATTGAGTCTATTGGATGGAATAAAGAACGCATAAAATTTATAACCCATCTTGTGTAGGCGTGGGGACCTTCAGTCTTTACAAATATCATGAAGACCCATTCGTTTTCGTCTTCCACCCAAACAATTTGATGCATCTCACAAGGAACACAAGGGTATATTCGATGGATAACCACTAGTGTCGCAAAACCCTAAATTCTCTTCTTAGGGTTCTTTACATTTCTCTTCCTCTCAAAGGCTACGATAGCGACGACGCGGCAACGATGAGCCTCGATCTGGCACGCCTGGATCATGGCGAGCGCTCGGATGGGCAGCTTGCTGGCTGCATTGAAGCAATGCAGCAGCTCGAGAGATCTGGCAAGAGGAAAGCTTGTCCACGCCGCGGCGATCGAGCGCGGCGATGTCTCGAGCATCCGGGTATGGAATTCTCTGATTAGCATGTATGGAAAATGCGGCAGCCTCACGGATGCGCGCCTTGTGTTTCACAGGATGCCCGGCCACAGCGTCGTGTCGTGGAACGCATTGCTGCTGGGATTCGCCGAGAGCGGCGAAGGAGGCATCGTTCTCGAGCTCTTCTCGGCGATGCAAGCCCAGGGCTGCGCCGCCGATCGATTGACGTACGTTGCGCTACTCAAGGCTTCTGGAAATCTCGCAGAGAAAGAGAATGGCAGTTCTTTCCTCGTGAAGCTCGGGGCTTTGGAGAAAGCAATGGCGATCCATTCCATGGCTCTCAACGAGGACCCTGTCGTCCATAGCTTCGTCCAAAATGGTTTGGTAGAAACTTATGCCAAGTGTGGGAGCTTGACTGATGCTCGAATGGTTTTCGACAGGATGGAGCTCCACACGGTCGTCTCTTGGACGTCTTTGATTCTCGGGTACGCTGAGAATCGCGAGGAAAGACTGGCTCTGGAGATTTTCTCTCGAATGGAAGCGGATGGAGGCTGTGTACCAGATTCTCGGACTTTTGTTGCTGCTGTCAAGGCATGCACGGGATTGGCTGCTCGAGAAGAATGGAGAAAAGCTGACGGCAAGGTGGTGAAAGCTCTGGCTTTAGAGAAAGGACTAGCAATCCATGCTCAAGCTGCACAGCGAAGGCACGACTCGGACATTTTTCTGGCAAGCTCGCTGGTAAACATGTACTGCAAGTGTGGGGGTCTCGATCGCGCGAGCAGAGTCTTCAGTGGTATGCCGGTTCATAACATTGTGACTGTGAACGCTTTGATGCTTGGCTATGCAGAGAATGGAGAAGGAGGCAGAGCTTTCGAGATCTTTATGGACATTAAGGAACGGTGCACTGGACAGGACTATCTAACTTTCCTGGCGGCAATCAAGGCCTGTGCAAGCCTTGCGACGAGAGAAGTTGGAACTCACGTCGATGGGAAGCTCTTGAAAGTGGATTCGCTGGAAAAGGGTATGTTTGTTCACGTTGAAGCTGCAAAATGTGGCTGTGACACGAACTCTTTTGTCAGGAACTCCATGCTGGATATGTACACGAAGTGCGGGAGCCTGGTGGATGCTCGCAGGCTGTTCGAGAGGACTTTTATCCGCGATGATGTTGTGTTGTGGAACACCTTGATTCTTGGGTACGTTGAGAGTGGAGAAGCGCAAATCGCTTTGACATTGTTTGATCGGATGACTTCAGAAGGCTGCTCGCCAGATGCTAGAACGTTCATGGTTGCTTTCAAGGCGTGCACTTGTCGCTCGGAGAAAGAAGAAGGCAAGCGAGTTTGCGGCAAGACCGTCAAGCTTGAGACCATGAGAAAGGCTATGGAAATTCACTCTCAAGCGGCGAAGTGTGGCTATGACTCGGACCTTTTCGTGGCAACTACGATGATCGACATGTACGCCAAATCTGGGAGCTTGAAAGATGCTGAGAAGGTTTTCCAGGAGATGAAGAACCGTGACGTCGTCGCCTGGACTACGATGGTTCTTGCCTATGCCGAACAAGATGCAAGTAAGCACTTGGCTTTAGAGTTGCTCGACCGCATGCAACGCGAAGGCTGTGCCCCGATCTCTCTTACTTACGTTGCTGCTTTGAAGGCCTGCGCGAGCCTGGCGATGGAAGAGGAGGGCGAGAAAATTAATGGAAAGGTCGTGAAGGTGCTCTCGTTGGAGCGAGGAGCTGCCATTCACTCAAAAGCCGAGGAACAAGGATTTGATTTGGACCTCCTTGTGATGAACGCGGCGGTGGACATGTACTCCAAGTGTGGTAGCATGGTCGACGCTGGAAAAACTTTTGACCGCATGGTTCTTCGCAGCGTGACTTCCTGGAACACTTTGATGATGGGGTATGTAGAAAACGGTGAAGCATCGATGGCTCTAAGCTTGTTCTCTCGCATGCAGCGTGACGGCCCGGCTCCAAATCCTGGAACTTTTGTGGCTGCTCTCAAGGCCTCTGCGAATCTGTCAGCGCTGCAAAGTGGACGGCAACTTCACAGAGAAATCTGCCGCTACGGTCACGAGTTCCATGAGATCGTCGCAAATTCTGTGGTGGATGTTTACGGCAAGTGTGGAAGCATGACTCGAGCTCACCAGGTATTTGATTCCATTTCTAAACCGGATTTAGTGAGCTGGAACACGCTGCTAGCAGGTTACAGCCGCGAGGGGAACACCGAGCTCGTGTTCTCCCAGTTCCACAAATTGGAAGACGAAGGCCGCCTCAAACCAAACGTGGTGACCTTCGTTTCCCTCCTCGCGGCTTGCAGCCACGCCGGGCTGGTCGATCGAGGCAAGAGGCTTTTCCAGTCGATGGTGTCCAGGTATGAGATCGATCCAGTGCTGGAACACTACCACTGTTTGGTGGATTCTCTAGGCCGTGGGAATCAGCTGGAAGAAGCGATGAAGATCGTGGAGACGATGCCTTTCTCGCCGAATGATGTCACCTGGAGGACAGTGCTGGGCGCGTCGAGGAAGTGGAGCAACGATCGAGTGGCAAAACAAGCATTTGATTCGCTGGCAGGCTTGATAGGTTCATTGGGACAATGAAGAACAAAACGTAATCTCCTATGAATCACTGTTCTTGGCGCCATTTAGATTCAAAATATTCTTTCACAAAGATTCGCCCATGTATCGAGGTCATGGATTTCGCCTTGTTCTCGACTTGTCCTAGCTTCCACTGATCCAGATTCATCGCAGACGATAAATTTCTTTCAAGTGATCAACACTTCTTTGCCCCAAAAGAAATGTTTGCGATCAAACTCCTTTTAGCACTCTCGTTGTTACTCGTTGCAATTCTCACGTTTTTTCTTGCAATTTCTCGAGTGGATCCACTCCCTGCTGCCTGGAATCCAGCTCCAGAGCGTCAGGGGATCTACGCTGCAAATGCCGCGCTCCAGCGGGTCGAGAAGATTGGGGTTGGGTTTTTCTCCGGAGCCGAGGATCTGGCTGTGGATCAAGAGGGCCGGATTTACTCCGGTGGGAAGGATGGATGGATCAAGCGATATTTCCCCGCGACTGGCAGGATCGAGAACTGGATCTACGTGGGAGGGCATCCTCTGGGCATGGCGATTGGGAAATATGGGGAGCTCATTGCCGTGGAGCCGGTCATGGTGAGAGAATCTCTTAGAGATTTTTTCCTTCGCTCTAATCTATTCCTTCCATCGCAGGGGCTCTTGAATGTGACCGATGCTGGAGTGGAGATTCTCTCAAACGAGGCCGATGGATTGAAATACAAGTAAGAACTGTGGATATTTTTTCTATTTGAGTGTGGGAACTTTGGATTTCTTGCTCTAGAATTGCCGATGAATTGGTCGTAGCTCGAGACAACACGATCTACTTCACGGATGCCAGTACCAAATTCGATGTCGCTGATTGCCGGCTTGGAATCGCGACCCAATGGCCGGATCCTAAAATTTGATCCATCCTCAAGAACAACATCGGTGTTGCTCAAGGATTTGTATTTCCCAAATGGAGTAGCGCTGTCACGCGACGAGAATTACCTGGTTTTCTGCGAGACCTCCAAGTAAGTTTCCTTTTGCTTTTCTCTTGTTTCTCAGATGTGTTTAATTATAGAGCCAGGTGTAGAAAATACTGGCTCCGAGGAGAAAAGATGGGAAGCATCGAGAATTTTCTGGACAATTTGCCAGCGTTTCCAGACAACATCCACATCAACGCTGATGGGAATTTTTGGATCGCCCTCGTATCGGTTAGAAGATTCTTTCTTCTCCACTTTGGTTCCAAAGTTTAATTTTTTGTACAGGATCGTCTATGGCACATTGAGCTCATCTCAAACTCGCCGCTACTAAAGAAGCTCGTCTCTCATCTGGTGCCTTTTCTCCCGGATGAATCGCTACAATCAGCTAAAGTTTTGGCTGTGGATCCAGATGGAAGGCCTCTTGAATTTTTCGAGGATCCGACCGGGAAAGAGATGGCGTTTGTCACAGCTGCTCTACAAGTTGGAGATCACCTCTACCTGGGAAACTTAGCAAAGAGCTACATTGGAAGGATCAAGTTGTCCTCGAGAGAGAAAGGGACAAGATTCTCAATTTAGCAGAATAGTTTTAAGCTGGAAAACAAGAACATGAGGCAAAGAGCTTGAACTGAAGCTACATAAAAATGATCGCAAGATCTCAAGCTTGTAAAATTACTAGATCTCAAGCTTGCAAAATTAATGTCATTTCTAACTTTTTAAATATTTAGAAAACTTTCTTTTATAAATGGAAAGAGAATCTATCTTGATGGTAGAGCCATTTTCGTGCTATAAAATGCTAAGTGTAATAAATTTTGAAAAGTAGTATGTAGTTGATATATGTCCTCATTGAGGTGTGATTTAAGCCCTTTATGCGCACATCCATGCTATGAAAGAAATCCAAAGGTTATTGGTAAGTACTGTAGTTGAAAGACCAGTAAGATTAAGGTTTTGGGTAGGTACGAGCATTTTTGGAATGGAGAAACTGTCAAATAAAGATAATGTTGCTGCACTTAAAAGAGACCTTTGAATAAATGCTAGAAGTAGAAGATTATGCTCTTATAGATACTCTAACTACACTGAAAAGGGTCATGCTTGAAATCACTCGCAAAACAACAAGTTACACTCTTTTGTGAAAAGATGTGATGAAAGTTTTAGTAGATTCTTGGCTTGCAACAATAGCCAACCCATAAGTGCTTAAAGTTGAAAACACATGTCCTAGAACCAAGAAGTGCCAATTAGCTGGAGGAATGAAACTGATTGGCACTCTGGTTCTAGAATATATATTCTGAACTTTAGGCACTTCTAGGTTGGCAGTGTATGGTAGACTGTTTTATGGATGAACCATGTATGACTTGATGCTGAAACACCTATTCCAAAGAAGAAAAGACAAAAAGCCCACTCTATACAGTGAGAGTACAGCTTCGAAAGAATAAATGTTTCAGCATCAAGGAAGTCATCTTCCCTTCAATAGGATGCTCATCTATAAATAAGAAATTTTAAAATCAAAACTACTTTACTTACTTGAGTTTGGATGTGAAAACTTGTTATTCCAATGTTCTTGAACAAGCTTGATCCGTAAATTGATATACTCCACCAAAAACTCTTGTGCTATTCTCTCAACTAAATTTCGTCCATATTGAATAACAAGTTTAGACACTTTGCAATCGACAGACTTTAAATTGTACTTATTTTGGCAACGATGGTATTGGTAGCCAAAGCATTCAGTTCTAAACCATGGCTCCTTTTAAGAGCAAATCCAAGGCCTTACAAAAATACTGCAACTGGTTCTCATTTTTGCCCATGGAGCCTGGGCCCTGTAGTTAGGCCGTTCTCTGCCAGTGGCTCGTATTGTTTAAACATATTTTGTCATGCAATTAATTTTAGGTGAGTTTTATAGAATTTATCATGGAATAAAATGTTCTGTTGCTCATCGTGCGATCCCACGTGCATGGCTTTTAGTATGAAGCCGAAGAGTTTTGGGCATGCAGTGCACGGAGTTGCTCTAAACAGATCTCTTGTTAATAGGACCTCGAAAAACTAGCCACCTCCTAGATTGAAATGGCTTACACTTGGTGGGAAGCAGAATGGTGGCTTCAATTTCTACTTCTCATTCTCGTCACTGTTTTATCTCTTCATGCTGCTTCTGAATCGCCGCTATCTGCTTCCAAATGACAGCTACTCGATCCTCCGCCCCCTGCAAGAAGAAGAGAGCGCATCCTCCAAACCTTGAGTTTCCCGGCAATCTTGGAGCTCTGCATTGCCACCACGTGTTATGTTTGTAAACGATGAGAGGCTCGGCTAGATGCTGCTGTGCAGGGCTCATCGTTGCCGAGATCATCGTCGTAGTAGTCACGATCGTGTGGAAGCGTTGAGGCTCCTGGATGAGGAGTTGTTAACGTTCAACAATCTCGCAGGCTGATCGTCCATTCGCGGTACTCCTTACGGATGGTGAGCCCATCATCTCTTCCAATCTTTCGAAAGATTCTGTTGGTAAGTGCCTGGAGCTGGTTGCCTTCTTCTTGCTGGCAGACGATGGAACTGGTGGAACTGGAGTCGTTTGAGATTTCCTGGATCTTAGGAAGAATAGTTGCTGCTAGCAAAACAAAACAAAACAGAAATCGATCAACCACGCCATGCATGCGGAGATAGTCACGTATCTCTCATGACTGTCCATATCCAAATCCACTGTTGTTCTTGCCAAGATCTCAATTATTCCCATTGGAACTCTCCACTTTACGATGATCACCTTTCTCGATTACTTCCTCCTCAAGCTACTCCTCCTTGTGAATCAAAATGGTCCTGGATTTGTTGCGACCTCAGCCTCAAGTATCTGAAGTTCTTGAGCAGTGTCTTGAAAATTGTGGATGGAAAGCTTAGCTATTGTCAAGGGGAGACAAAGTCAAACCATGCTTTGTTTTAGACTAATCATGGTTAGTGTGGGATTAGTAATAATCTTAAAGCTAAAATACAAAAGAAGGTTTAGTGAATAGTAAAGAGTGTGATCAATGGCATTGTTAAAAAAGTCGGTATTGAGTACATTTTTTTTTCCAATCAGTTAAGGGTTTTGGGATATTTAGGGTTAAGCGTCTTTGGGTTTGAATAGTACTGGGCTGGGTGACCTCCTGGGAAGTCCAAATTCAGGAGTTTACAGATAGGCATGTAAGCGAAAGCTAAACTATGCCTCAGGTTGGTCGGCCATGCTCGACTGTAGCGCACGTGGTTTTGACCCTTTATCCTATGGTGATTTACCATAGGATAACACCACAAAGCGGAACCTAAACCCTTCATATGCCACGTGACATATGCCATGTGTCACATACCACGTGTCCAAAGGAACGTGGTGTGGAACCCGAGGTTCAAGCCCTTGGGCCACTGAACGAACGGTGCCAAACCCCCAAGCATGGAGCCAGGGAGTGACGGAACCGAACCATGGAGGAACTCCCAAACATGGAGCCAGGGAGTGATGGAACTGAACCACGGAGCAACTCCCGAACATGGAGCCAGGGAGTGACGGAACCGAACCACGGAGCAACTCCCGAACATATAGCCCAAGGAGTGAAGGGACAGGAGCCTAGAGCGACTTGGAACAATCTTGGAGCAACCAGCATCCCAATGCTAGGACCAACACGCAAAAACGGAGCTAAATAGAGTCTGGTGCTATTTCAACATACCGGTGGCCTAACACGAGGACATGTAGCATGGAATGGAATTTGGGCTTAGACCCAAGTCGGACGCAGAACAAGGACAGGCACGCAAGCGGGAGCTAAACTATGCCTCAGATTGGTTGGCCATGCTCGACCTACCCACTATCCCTACTATACGAGTCTAGAATACCGCCAAGGAAACAACTCCAGAAAAAGTTCACGGTACTCACACTATATGAAAAATGCACCAACTTAAATGAGTTAGGAGGCAACCTCTTTGTTTAACGCGGATGCGCTACCAGCTCAGACACTTTCCGGCCATCGCCGACAAGGAAATGACTAACGGAGTCAACCACCCTTGTTGCTCTGGGTGTCACCCAGCTACAAAAGTGTGATACGCCCCTGCCCATAAGGACATAGAGAAAGAAGCCAGAGGCCCCAACCCTCATGAGCAAAGAAACCAAACCCGTCGGTAAGGTTTAGATAGACTACTGTAAATAGGCAGTTAGAGTTGTTTACACGGTCACACCCTTTCAATGGAATAAGGAACATTGACAGAGAGGCGGGTTATGTGACCAGTCGACAGTAGCTACCCCATGACTAGAGATTTCACCATGCACACGAAGTGCCGAAGCCAGTTTGCTTATACTGGCCCAAACTTCAAAAATCAATAAATGGACAATATCAAAGTCATAAACAATGATATCTTAGAGACGTAATTATCAATGAATATATTTTAGATTAGAACACAAAAGTATTCCAAGTAAGTTATCATCCGATAAACTAGTATTATAGTATATGAACCACCAAGATCAATATAGTTGGAAACATAGAATGCACTATCCAACAAAATGCAATAGCAAGGATATCATCAAGGAAACTCAATGATAAAACTTAACTATCAAAATTTGCAGATAGAATGCTAAACAACTTACGAAAGATAACTCAAAGAACACTAAATATCATTGACTAGCAAGCAAAATGGTCGCGAATGTATCACCCGAAGGAAATAACATCCCAACCTAACAAAATTAACTCGAGCAATAATCAACATAATAGAATGAATATGGTAAAACCAACAAACACTTGTTCATGCCAATTATTGCACTAGTCAATCAGAATAGATCCTAGTCAAGAATACTAAGGAACCAGAGTTGCTCAAGCAAGTGTTAGCAACATCCTATGGATGTCTCAAACCCAAAAGACTAATCCAAAGCAAACCACAAAGAACATGTGGTATTGCAAAAAGCCATAAGCCATCAAATAACACAACTAACCATCATGAAAGAACATCAATCATCCCATCAATGAAGAGATGCATAATCATTGCTGAAGAAGGAATCTACCATCTCAAAGAATGGCAAATCATTCTATACCAACAATAATCAAGCAAAATCTTCGACAAGGATAATCAACTATCCTAGATGACAGTCAATCATTATTAATGATTGCTAGATGCAAATATTAACTTCAACATCGAAGCTAAGAGCCAAAATGCTTTCCCCAACAACTTCTAACAAATGGAACAATGAGCACAAAATTCAAGGAACCAAAAGCTCGAAGAAGCCTATAGCCAAGTCTTGCCTAACAACGATCACGAGTTTTGTAGGAACTAACTTCAATGCTAAAGAAGAAATCATGGTATAACCCACAACATCTTCCTTAACACATCCATAAGCTAAACTTCATAATGCAAAAGAAAATGAAAAGCATTTTTGCATCAATCCAAAAATTAAGCATAACGAAGTTATGCTCAACAAGTGATCACCAAACCGATCCTCAATGAATCCATCTACAGCAAGACGTAACTCACCTCATAACAAGCACAAGAAAAATCATCAATGATCAATATATCCCAATTGAAATCCAACAAGGATTCAATCACTTCAATACTAATCATTAACTCTTCCTCTCATAGAGGTAGCATTGTCCACGACTAAATCACTTTTCAAGGAAAAGCTAAAGCTCAACCTCAACTAAGCAATTTCGTCTAGAACACAACTAACTCAACTTGCCACTCAGTTCATTTGAATGTCAATGCAGTTGCTAACTAGCAAATGTATGAATGCGAACAACACAAAGCTAAAGCCAAATCATCAACACTATTTTCATCAAGACTAATGAAACTCAATATCAATCCTTGGAAGGATATCTCATTTCACTCGAATCTCAATATCAACAATATCAATGACAAGGCATCATTTCAATGCCATCAACACCATAACAAAACTAAAAGAAAGCAAGAGTGAATCACCACTCAGAGCTCTTTAGCAACTAAGTTAACCAAAGTCGAAGATACCTTAGTCAGTATGTGAGACTAGTCCTTCAGCAATACTCAGTTTTAGATAACACATCATCAAAGAGTGTATCACCACATCCAAGACTCAATGAAATCCAACACTATAGACCAAACATAACCAAATGATTTTGACAAAGGAATCGACAAGCTAACATGGAAAAACCATGCAAGCTAAATGACACGATCCTCCGCAACACCATTCGATAAAGCAAGCCCATCACTACTCAATCTTCATTGAGCGAAGCAAGTGTTTAATAGTCCTCGACGAAGTCTATAAGTAATCACTAGTCGCAAAGCAACTAACAATCACTCCTCAACTTGCCTTCACAAGACCCAAACACCAACTCTTGTCATCAAGTTATATACTTGTCTAACATGAATGTGATACCCCAGGTACGAGATAAAAGTTCATAGATAAGCACAAACTCAATGACCACTCGAATCCAACTCAACTGCAATAAGCTCACTAAAACATTTAGCCACTAGCTTTGAGCATGCCTTGAAGAGGCTAGCTATAAGATCAACACTTAGTCGAAACTAAAGTGAAGACCATAAGATGGATTCATATTGGTACACAACCTCCTCATAAACAAAGCTATAGTACAGGTACTAATATCTCAAACTCAAACAACTAAGTTGGACATCACCATCCTTAACCAAGGCGCAGGGCCACCAAGACTAAGTCAAGATCAGTGAGAGCTCACTACTCTCATAAAGTTTTAACAAAATGCAAGATGCAACCTGCCACCGAGCATAATGCTACAAAAGAAAGGCACAAGGGTCACCCTTCTTAGAGAAGCTGTGTTACGAACACGGCCGGGATCCCGGCCGTGTTCACCGTGTTTCATGAACACGGCCATGGGTCGTGTTCCCACGGCCGTGTTCGTGAACAGTGGTCCGTGTTACTAACACGGACCACTGTTCAGAATATTCTCGCACGGAATATTCTGGTTTTAGGGCGCACGGCATCACACGACAATCCAGCCAGGGTGCACCATTTCAGGGCACAGCAGCAGCAATCCAAGGCAAACAAGCATGGCGCAGCAATCCAGCATACTGCGAAAGCATCCTTCTTCGTGAGGTGGGATGAGGTAAGTGTTCTTGAGAGCAGGGGGCATGGCCACAAATTATGGTCATGCAAATACTGCCCAATGGTGAACAAACTGAGTGGTGTTGATCGTGTGAGAGCTCATCTGTTAGGAGAAGGCCCAGGCAGCAAGGATATTGTGAGTTGTCCTCTCATCCCAGGTAACAAGAAAGCGGATCTGCTCAATATGCAAAAGGTTATTGATTCCGAGAAAGGGGCAAGGGGGAAGAAACGGCCGAATGAATCTAGTGGTGCTTCTATGAGAATGGATGGCAATGTCCAAGGATTTCCACCGGTGGTATCATCCCAGTCAAGTGGAAGTGGCTGTAGTTTCCTGTTTTTTAGCAAACAGAGTCAAGTCCATATTGTTGATTCGATGGATCCTGAGCGGAAGAACCGAGTTGATGTGGCTATTGGAAGATTTTTCTGGAATGAACACATTCCATTTGTCAAGGCTCGGTCACCTTACTTCCTCAACATGATACAGGAAGTTGCCAGGCATGGTGTGCCTTATGCACCACCAAAATATGATGATCTCCGGGATAAGCTTTTGGTGAAAGAGAAACGATTCATTGACATTGAGATGGCGTCCTTGAGGAAGCAGTGGGAGCAGAGGGGTGCAACCATATGCGCAGACGGGTGGGCAGATAGGAGGAATTGGCATATCATGGGGCTTGTGGCATATAGTCAAGGACGAGGAGCTTTTTTGAAGGCTATCGACATTTCCTTAACAAGAAAAACAGCTGAAAATACTCTGCGCTGCTGGGAAGAAGGCATTAACATTGTAGGTGCAGAGAACGTTGTCATGGTTGTGACCGATGGGGAAAATGCAAACAGAGCAGCAGCAGCACTTTTGCAACAGAGGTACCCGAAAATTCAATGGGCAGCATGTTTTGCCCATTGCTTGAACAATGCCTTGAAAGACTTCTGTGTACTTCCATGGATGGCAACACTTCTGGAGCGTGGAAAGTCTTTGGTGATCTTCGTTAGAAACCACTCTCATATAGTGGCACTGCTGGCGGAGTTTACTCACAAGCAATTGCTGCGTTATTGTGATACCAGGTTCGGCTACAACTTCATTATGATGGAGAGGCTGGTGGAGCTCCGAGAAGCTTTACAACAGATGTTCGTATGCCCTGCGTACAGAGCAAGGCCTGAGTCAAAGTCGAGAGCAGGAAGGGACAGTTATGCAACGGTTTTTGATGACAGTTTCTGGCAACAGGTTAAGGACATGCTAAAGGTGTCCAAGGATGTTATGCTACTTCTTCGTGTTGTGGACGGTGATATACCTGGGATTGGAAAGATATATGAGTGCATGAACAGGTTGGATGCAAGTTTAGAGGAAGGACAGTCGGATTATGGCAGGTACAAGGAACTTTATCAGATCATGTCTAATAGGTGGCATGAGTATCACTCGCTCATGCACTCAATGGCGTACATGTTGGACCCCGAGTTTCAGGAGTATGAAAAGCATGCTAACAGAGAGGTCATGAAGGACTGGAATGCTTATCTGCTGGCCATGTTTACATCCAGTGAGAGGGATGTGATACGTGATGAGCTTTTAACTTACCGGAGGATAGGAGGCATTTTCAACTCATATGATGCTAAGGCTGATCGCACTAAGAGGGGAGCTGTACGTTGGTGGGAGGACTATGGTTATGAAACTCCAGCTCTTCAGAAGTTGGCCATTCGAGTTCTAAGTTAGGCATGCTCGTCGTCCTCGGTGGAGAGATTGTTCAGTACTTTCGAGCATGTTTCTTCAAAAAAGAGGAACAGACTTACCATGGACAGGACAGCGGATCTGGTTTTTGTGGCTTGCAACACCAGGTTGTTAACCTGCAAAAATGATCGTGATTACGACAAGTTTGTAAGCTACAAAGTCCTGGAGACAGTTCCTCATCCTGAATACGAGCTTGAGTCAGGACAGGAAGAGGAAGATGGAGATGATGTCGAAGATCGTGAGGTCGAAGATCATGAGGTTGAAGATGACGATGAGATGCAGGATATTTGAGTAGTTTAAAAGTGTGAAGTAGTTTATGTGCAAATAAAAATATTAAGAATAATATAATAAAATATAGCATATTCCTATAATAATATAATAAGAAATAGAATATAATTTTTAAATAACATATTCTTAGAATATTCAGTAGAATATTTGTGAGCCATCGTGGGCCGTGATCGTGTTCCGTGTTCGGGTTCCTGAAATCTGAGGCTCGTGTCCGTGTTCCGTGTTCGTGTTCGTAACTATGCTCCATCAACCACTTTGGGGTTGATCATTGTCTAACCAAGCAACTTCGTAAACACATTACTCATTATCACATGGATATGATATGGAAATCACAATGTCTTAATCATCAATCAAGCAACACTATAAGCAATGCCCATGTCATTACTGTAAAGGTTTATGTGAATATCAAGTGTCAACTCCATTTGACAAAATGCAATATAAATACCACACCCATCGATAGAGATTTACAACACCCAACACCACTAACTTTTGTTCACAACATGGACAAACTCATGCCACTCTCTTTCTGACCAAACTCAACACTAATCCAACACCAAGCTACTCAAGGAGCAATAACAAGGTTCCCCGGAAAAGAATTGAGCATTGCAACCCAAGTCTTCCAATAACAAGCCTAGACAAAATGGTATAGCACTTCACTGCTATCCATCCCAAAACTCACCATTGTATGACCACCATCTTCAACATGCATCAAGATAGAGACTCTTGATTGCATGATGTGAATACAAGCAATGAGTTAACACCTCATTGTAGATCATCTTTCCAAGAAGAGAAAATGATTTACGTATTTGATCCTCCGTCCCCAATGACTCTCTTTTCGGTCTCATCTTTGACCAAACCTCAAGCTTGCTTTTGCACTGCTTTCAGTTCAATCGAAGAAAAGTTTATGAGAGAGAGTGCTCGCCATGATCCAGGTGTGCCAGGTTGACACTCATTATTGCTATATCGTCATTGTGATCGTATCCTTGAGAGGAAGAGAATCTCAAGGAGAGATGGGCAACAGTCAGTACTCACTTACTACTTTCAGGTAAATTGAAAGCTTTGATCTAGCTACTGCTAAGCTATTGTATGCTCTCACAGTCGTGACTACTAGGCAGGGTCAGAGGTAATTTCTCTCTTTCCTATGATCTTACGTTATTGTGGCATTTGCAATAGAGTTGTCATTAGAGTTAGTCTTTGGGACTATCATGAAAACTTATTAAATATAGATTGGTGCTAAATTGCAAATTTGGACACAGGAATAACACTATCATGTTTAGGACAATCTTTACATTCCATAGATATATTAACTAGCAAATTTAAATAATTTCCATAAATACCTATTGGGAGTAAATGGGACCAATATATAGAGCATGATAACGAGAGTGTTTTAGCGAACATAGTAAGCTACCATAGAACGAATATTGAGGGACCAAATTTAATATCACAGGGGCTTCCAACACTAACAAGTGAAAGCTAATAACTTGAATTTCTTATCACCATGTCAATTATGCTTGAATGTGAGTAGCGTTTTAAAGAAAATGGTGTTGGAAACAATTGAGGCTATAATTTTTCCATAATAGACTTGGCAATGTCTAAGGAGTGTAGATGTTGTTACATTGGTGTTTGATTGTCAAGGCAATACAAAGTATACCATGATGATGATGGATCACCTGTATCACCAAACATTACACGTGATAGTAATCCAGTAAAGGGCATATTATTATCTTGCATGACAGTCATGGGCATTCAAGTTTATAGTGACAAACCTTCTCTATGTATTTATATTTGAGCTTTTCTTTTGGTAACTTTTAATTTGCTTGACCAGATCATTTTGACATTGAGTATGTAGTTATTTATTTATTTATTTTCTTGTTAATGATAGCTTATTTATAGTGGCTGTTATATATGCAAACTAGAAAGTTATAGAAGGATATAAAACTTTGGCAGCTCTTTATTTATTTCTATTGAACCCTTTTGGTCTTTCCTTGACAAGAGCCCATTACTAGAAAATCCATGGACTATAGCTTGGTGCATGATAAGCATGAGGAAGTGCACATCCTCTTGTAGAAGGATCTGAGACTTTGGATGGAAATTCTTGTAAAAGAAGTAAGCAATGAAGTTCAACATTCACTATAGATGAGAAGTGATAGAACATAATAAAACTTAGATTTCCTTCTTTAGTGCCCTTTGCATATGTGATTATCAATTTCTCAATTAGATTGGGTGAAAATTAATAAAGGGTTTCGCAACACCGACCTCCCACTATCATAGCAGTAATATGAAAATGTTTAAAATAAGTTGCCGACAAATAATTTTTGATACCCATAGTCATATTCATGACACTCTCCCCTCTTTAGTGAAAATCAATGTCCTCCTCGATGCATATTCTAGTCTAGAGCATTACCAAATAAACAACTCTAAATTTTTTTTATAGTGTTCACACTTTGTGAGAAATGCACAAACTTAAACTAGTTAGGGGACAATCTCTTTGTCTAACGTAAATATACTACCACTCAGACATCTTTTGATTGTCATCAACAAAGAAATGACTAATAGAGTTAGCCACCTTTGCTACTCTAAATGTCACCCAAGTTATAAAAAATTATATATCTTTGCCTATAGGTGATATAAAAAAGAAGCCAAAGGCCCCAACCCTCATGAGCAAACAAATCAAACCTAATTTAAATAAATTATTATAAATAAGTAGTTAAAGTTATTTATACAGTTATGCCCTTTTAACGGAATAACGAACATCAAGAGAGAGGCAATAATATGACCAATCGACAATAACTACCCCATGATTAAAATTTTTAATATACACACAAAGTGTTAAAGCCAGTCTATTTATACTAGCCCAAAGTAGAAGATCAACATATGAACAATATTAAAGTTATAAACAAAGATATCTTAGAGACATTGAATTTTCAATAAATAAATATTAGATTAAAACATAAGAGTATTGCAATAAAATACCATCCAAGAAACTAATATAGTAGAGGAACTACCAAGATCATCATAATTGGAAGACATAGGATTAACTATCTAATAAAATTTAATTGTAAATGTACCATAAGATTATAGATAGTAACTTATGAAAGGCAACTAAAAAAATATAAAGTATAACTAATGGACAAACAGAATGCTTCCGAATGTATCACATGAAGAAAATAACATCTTAATCTATTAGAATAATAATCCATAAAACAGAGTGAATGTCGCAAGGGCCAACAAACACTTGATCATATAAACTATCATATGAGCCAATTTAAATAGATCTTGGACAACAACACTAAGGAACTAAAGTTGTTAAAATAAGTTTCAAAAACATTTTACTAATATCTCAAATCTAAAAGACCAATCTAAGAATATATGATAATACAACAAGCCAAAATCCATAAAAGAGAACAATAATTATCATGAAAAATCATCAATCATTCTATCAATAAAAAGATGCATAATCATTATTGAATAAATAATCTACTATCTTGAACAATAGCAAATCATTCAAATCAATAATAATTAAACAAAATTTTTAACAAAGATAATCAACTACCCTAGATAATAGTCAATTATTATTAATGATTGCCAAATGTAAACACTAACTTCAACATTAAAGCTGATGAGCCAATATACTTTCTTTAACAACTTCTAACAAATAGAATAATGAGCATGAGAATTCAAAGAACCAAAAGTTTGAAAAAGCATATAGCTAAATCTCACTTAATAATGATCATCATTCTCGCATGAATTAACTTCAATGTTAAAAAAGAAATCATAGTATAACCCATAATATCCATATCTATAAGCTAAAGTTCATAATATAAATGTTAATAAAGAATATATTTGCATTAATTCAAAATTCAAGCATAATAAAGCTATGCTCAATAAGTGACCACCAAACCAATGCTCCATAAATCCACTTTTTATATCAAGGTGTAACTCACTTTATAAGGAAATACAAGAAAAATTATCAATGATTGATATATCCTTAATTTAAATTCAACAAGGAACTAATAAATTTAATATCGACTACTAACTCTTTTGTTTACAGAAATAGTATAATCCATGAGTAAATCACTTTTCAAAGAAATACCAAAGCTCACATAACTAATTCAACTTGCCACTTAGTTTGTTTGAACACCAACATAATTGCTAACTAGTAAAATGCACAAATGCTAATAACATAAGGGTACAACTAACTATCAACACCATCTTTATTGAGACTAGTGAAATGAAATGTCAATCTTCATTGAGTATAATCACTCACCAATCATATAAACCACAGATGGAAAATTCAATATTTTAAATATATTTTTAGAGACAATAATCTCTTCTCACTTCAATCTTAATTTGAATAATATTAATATTACAACATCACTTTGATGCCATCAACACCAAAATAAAGCTAGAAGAAAGTAAAAGTGAATCATCAATCAATACTCTATGGCAATTAAGCTAACTAAGGTTGAAGATACCTTATTCAGTATTCAAGACCAATCCTTTAATAATATTCAGCTATATATAATGTATCATCAAAGAATGAATCACCACATCCAAAATTTAATGCAATCCAACACTATAAACTAAACACAATTAAACAATATCAAAAAAGGTGAAACCAATATGTTAATATGAAAAAACCGTGGAAGACCAAGAACACACCATCTAGTAAGTAAGCCCATCATTGCTAAATCATCATCAAGCTAAGCAAGTGTTAATGGTTCTCGACAAAGTTTATAAGTAATCACTAGTCACAAAATAATTAACAATCACTCGTCCACTCGCCTTCATAAAACCTAATCACAAACTCATATCATCAAGTTATATATTTGTCCAATAGAAAAATAACACTCCACTTATAATATATAAAAACATGGATAAGTATGGACAAAATGACTATTTATAAGCTCACTAACATATCTAGTCAACAATTTTAAGCATAAATGAAGACACTAGTTAGACATGATCAACACTTAATAAAAACTAAAGTGAAGACTATAAGATGGACTCATATAGTACACAACCTTCTAATATACAAGACTACAGTATTGGTATTAACATCTCAACCATAAACAACATAGTTAAACATTATTATCCTCAGTCAAGGCATAATGCCACTAAAACCAAGTAAAGATCAATGAAAGTTCATTAATTTCATAGAGTTTAATGTAATGCAAGATGTAACTTGTTACCAAACATAACACAAAAAAATAAAAAGCATAAAAGTCACTTTTCTAGAAAAGCGTAACAATCACTTTTTTACATTGACTTTAAACTTTATCCAACTCAATTGCCTTAGCCTTAAAAGTTAGCATTCATTTTAGGCTATATCATATAAACTACCTACTAATATTTAAACTAACCAAAGTCAAATTCTAGCCCCTTCATTAGTTTGCAATTGCTTAGGAAAATAGAATACAGCTCTAAGGAAAAATCCTCATCACTCAACATAACAATGCCACTCTAATTAACACCAATTGCTAGTAATGTCAATACCTTGCTTACACACTTTTTCCATCTAACGATCTACTCCAAGTACTAATGGATCCACCATCAAATTATAATAAATAAATGTTATAACCTTTCTAAAATTTTAATAGGTAAACTCTCAAGGAACCATTTAGCATAAAATAAATCACTCTTAAGAATCGAGTTAAAGTTATTACAATGTTATTTTGTGTAAATTCATCATTAACCACTTTGGGGTTAATCATTGTTTAATCAAACAACTTTGTAAACACATTGCTCATGATTATATGGTTATGATAAAGTAATCACAATGACTTGAGTGGGCACTTGATATTTGTATAAACCTTTATAGTAATGATATAAGTGTTGCTTATGATATTGCTTGATTGATGATCATATTTAATTTGACAAAATACAATATAAATACCACACTTTGCCAATAAAAATTTATAATACTTAACACTAATAACTTTGTTCACAATATAAATAATTCATGCCACTCTCTTTCCGACCAAACTCAAAATTAATCTAACATCAAGTTACTCAAGGAACAATAGTAAAGTTCCCTACAAAAGAATTGAGCATTGCAATTGAAGCCTTTAAATAACAAGCCTAGACAAAATGGTTTAATGCTTCTCTACTATCTATTTTATAACTCACCACTTATAAAACCATCATAACTAACATGCATCAAAGTAGGGATTCTTGATTGCATAATGTAAACATAAGCAATGAGATCACATCTCATTGGTAAATCATCAAAAATTATTTACATATTTAATCCTTTATCCTTGATTACTCTCTTTTCAGACTCAATTTTGACCAAACCTCAAGTTTGCATTCACACTATCTTTAGTCCAAGGCACAACTAAGGCACAATAATAGGCACAACAATAACTATTTAAAGGGGCCAACAATAACTACTTAAATCAATAGACTAATCCCTATAATCTTAATTGATGCACTCATCATCATGCCTAAGAAAGATTCATTAATGTTGTGTTAAACAACCACGGACTAGTATATATGTTATTTATAGTAAACCTAAGGAAGGTTTATTTTTACCCACGGTAACATAGAATAACTTATGGTAATTACTAATAAGTTAACATTAATCCCACCAACTCAAAATGTAAGCTCAAGTTGCTAATGTGCACTTATGAGCCCAAATGAAAACTTGTGTGAATGGAATATCTCAAAATCATCTTATGAACCTAAGCAAAGGCTTATACAATGTAATATGAAATAATAACCAAAATCTATACCCATGGAATGCATGTGAAGTTATAGCAACCAAACATATAAGTACTTAAACCACCGTTTTCATCTTTGCATATATAATGAGACTAATCACCTAACCTTATTGGATAGTACTCGCTGAAATATATTTTGAATACCAAAAAACTTGATTGCAAAAATTACATTTTCAGATATTTATATTGCATTAACATTTTTCTTCAATCACCATCAAGATTAAATATAAAGCCAAAACAATTATTAGGCTTAATATTGTCAATGCAAGTTAAAAACATAAGTTTTTTATCACCATATCAAATATGTTTGACGAAATGATAATTTAGGATTTCTTTCCTAAATGCCCTTGAAGTCTAAATATTTTAGCGATACTAACTTTTTGCCATTATGGTAGTAAGGGAAAAATATCCAAAAAGACTTACTGACAAGTAACTTTTAATACTTGTAATCACATTCATAATAGAATATTAAATTGCATAACTAACTTAGATGCCCCTTGATGAAAATGATATAATTATTAAAGCTATTATTATAGTTGTTTGGGAGAAGACTCCAATTTAGATAAGTTGTTGTAGTCAAACCATTATACCTCATCCCAAGAATGATAAATAGCAATCTTTCCAAATTGATAGAACTAAATCATATATATCATCCCCAAGATTCCCATAGAAAAAATCTGATCAAACATAAGGATTAATAATACAAGCAAGAGGAACTACACCATATACATGAATGCCACCATTAATTAAATTTGATTGATCAGCCACATAACATTGAGCAATTACACTAATTATTACTCTAGAGCTAGAGGATAAAGAAGTTGTTGCAAAGGAGGAATATGTTATAAAGATTGAACAAAGGAAAAATTGAAAAGAAAAAGAGAAGAAATAAAAACAAGACAGATTTACATTATATAAAAGCTAAATATAAACAAAAAAATACACAAATCTAAACACTCTTCAGGGAACAATAAAAACTGCTCCTCATTGAAAAGCCTCTTGCCTCAACCCGGCTAGGAGGGAAACGAAAGTCACGACGTCTGGTTTCAGGCATTACAACTTGTGGAACTGGGAGAACACGAGCTCGCGGCTGTAACCTGCTAGCAGTAGCAGTGCGTTCCAGCACACGAAATCCGGTCTAGATACCTGGTGAGCTTCGGTCTTGCCATTACGTCCACCAGAGATTTTGCGCCGTAACTCGTGACCGTAGCGGCAGATTTCTCCCTCAAATTGCTGTCCACTTTGCAGCGCTGACAGATTCGCAGAAGCCTTGAGAGCAGCCCCAAATTTTCCAGAGTTTGGAGTACATACCCCATCATCAAAGTGTTCCAGGAAGTCATGGTGCGAAGAACCATGCGGTTGAAAGTTCTTCTAGCGCCCCACCACCGCCGCGTTCAGCACAACGAGGTCCAAGTCAACACCGAATGGCAGCTTGACCTTACCATGAATTTGACAAGTGGCGAGCAGCCTTCCCATCCGCTTCCATTCGAGAGAAAAATCTCCAATGCCAGTCTTTCCTCGCGATTCTCAGCGTACCCGAGAATCAAAGCCGTCCAAGAGACGACCGTGTGGACGAAAACCATTGGAGCATCAGTCAAGCTCCCACACTTGGCATAAGTTTCTACCAAACCCTTTTGGACGAAGCTATGGAGGACAGGCTCCTCGTTGAGAGCCATGGAATGAATCGCCATTGTCTTCTCCAAAGCCCCGAGCATCACGAGATAAAAACTCTTTTCGTTCCCTTTCTCTGCGAGATTTCCAGAAGCCTTGAGTACGATCGGCCTAGGCTTGCATCGCCGAGAAGAGATCGCCTTCGCCGCTCTCGGAGCAGCCGACACAACGCTGTGACTAGGCATCCTGGCGAGCATCCGTGAGGCTGCGGCTCCATACAGCTAGAATTCCCCGGATCGCCGCGTTCGATCGCCGCGGCGTCGACAAGCTTGCTGATCTCTCGATCTGCCGCATTCCAAGCAGCTGCCGATCCAAGCGCTCGGGCGTGCCAGATCGAAGCTCATCGTTGTCGCGTCAGAAAGAGGGAAATATTTCTATCTAGTAAAGAACCCTAACAAGAGATTTTAGGGTTTTGCGAGAGGGAGAGAGATGGGCGACAGTCAGTACTCGCTTACTACTTTCAGGTAAATCGATCGCCTCGCCCTAGCTGCCGCTGAGCTGATCTTTTTGCACGCTTGCCAGTCCATCGGGGAAGCTCGTCCAGATCGAGCATGCTCTCACAGCTGTGGCCGCCGGGCAGACCTCGCTCGGGATCAGAGGTAATTTCTCTCTTTCCTGGTTCTATGATCTTTTCCCTTGTTGTGGCATTCGCAGTCCGGAATGGAGTTGTCATTGCGACCGAGAAAAAACTTCCATCGATTCTTGTCGATGAAACATCTGTAAGTTTCCAATTTTTTTCTCCTCCTTTTCTTTTTCTTTTGGGGCGAATCTCACTTTTTTTTTTTGGTGCTGTTTTCTTAGATCCAAAAGGTCCAGAATGTGACTAGCAATATCGGCAGCGTATACAGGTTTCCCGTTTTGTTCTTGCTTAGTTTTGTTTTTGTCATTCTGGTCGAAGTTCTTAGTAAATCTTTTTCTTGTCAGTGGCATGGGTCCGGATTCACGGGTGCTCATGCGTAAGAGCCAGAAGCAAGCATTGCAATACTTCCGTCTTTACAAGGTAGGGAGACCGTATTACGTTTGTCGCACGGTAATCCTACCAAGTCTTGCAATACAGGAACACATTCCTGTCTCCCAACTGGTCAGAGAAATCGCGGCTGTCATGCAGGAATTCACGCAGTCGGGGTATGTTGGCATCTTCTTTTTCTGCTGGTCATTTCCGCTTGATATTTAAACTACAGTGGTGTACGTCCATTTGGAGTGTCGTTGCTTGTCGCCGGCTTCGATGACGAAGGTCCGCATTTATATCAGGTATTGTAATGTTATTGGCTCGCGCGGGCACCTGTAATAGTGTCACTATTCAGGTCGATCCGTCAGGTTCATACTTTTCATGGAAAGCATCCGCGATAGGCAAAAATGCTTCCAACGCCAAGACCTTCCTGGAAAAGAGGTTTCCGACTTGTTTACTAGTTATGTCCGACACACTCTCATGCTTTTTTTCTCTACAGGTACACGGACGACCTGGAACTGGAAGATGCAGTCCACACGGCAATCCTGACTTTGAAAGAAGGGTGCGACCTTTCTCCCGCGACTGCTTTTCTTTCCCAAGGGATAACGTTTTTCGGTTTTATCAGTTTCGAGGGGCAAATTTCCGGGAAGAATATCGAGATTGGCATCGTGGGGTCGGACCAAAAGTTCAGGTATCTTGTCCATTATCGCTGCAACTTGATGGCAAACGGAGAAAGCCTTGCAGAGCCCTCACGCCCGCTGAGATTGACGACTATTTGGCGGAAGTAGAGTAATTGGATCGAGAATCGGGACTGTTTTAAGCCCTCTGTTCAAGGTACTTATTGTGGAAACACTCATGCTGGCCGGTGAGAACTTCTTGCATCTTTTTGTCTGTCAGTTGCATGCTCTTTTACCTCATCTTCTTCTTGAGAATATTTGTGGCTTCATGCCATGCTGATCCCAAGAACACAAAGTGACTAGATAACATTATCTGTTGGCATCCGTGTCATGATGCATTCATTCGCGTTTCTGCGTGGCGAAACATCCGTTCTATTCTCAATCATGAGCGCTGCTGGTTTTATTGTTTCCTTGGCGATTGCGAGATCAGGGGCTTTATGTTGTTTAGCGATTTCTATCGTTTTCAAGACGAGAGTCCGGTCCCTCGGGGTGTGGCTGGGCTTTCGTCAGCTCTTTGGCTGACGTATGATTGAGAAATGGACACCTGTGTGTGCTTGCTTTTCCCCCTGTTTGTTCTTCTCGAACGCTACTTAAACTTTGACGTGATTCGTCCAGTGAACGAAGAACAGCAATGATATTTTCCGAATAGTACTCAAGATGTCACTTTTTGCTTTGGAACACTGCATCTATTATCTATCTGGGTGGCATTTTGGAGCTGTTTTGCTCTTGCTTTGAGACGAGCTTGTGTGTGAATCTGTATTTTTGTGGCCTGGCTGAATCATCTCTCTCGAACATCTCTCTCTCTCTCTCATTCCTCAATCATCCGCATTTCGGGTTCCGGAGATTGCGATTGCAATATCGAGCTTTTTGTGTATTTTACTCGTCAGTGGACGCCCCGGGCTTGGGTTCTATCCATTTTTTTTCTCTTTTCTCGTTGCTTACTCAGCGTTGTCATTCCAGGAATTCTCCCCCTCTCCTTTTTTTTTTTCTCATAGTTATCTCTTTCTCTACTTTTTTTTCTTCTTCTTGTTCTTGGTCCTAATCAAAGTGTGAGTGGGGGACCCTTAACTTTGATTTGTGCTTTTGCATCGCAAGAACAGCACGAAGTCCTTTTCTCGGTTAACGCTGATGGATCCAAATCTTTTCCGATCGACGCACAAATCTAAGCACGAAATCGACGTTTCTAAGTGCACGTCTTTATATTTTCTATAGTCTATAGTCGCTCATTGTTGACAAGTTCCACCTCCTTGTTTGATGGTCTAATTGCTTTGGTGGCGCTTTTCGCGTGCTTAAGGCCAGCTCCCTGACAAGCATACAAAGGTGGCGTATTTCTATTAGATTTTTGTGTCGTTGCGTGTGGCCTAATCGTTTTCAGACACATAAATTGGTCGGCGAAAATTCACATGTGCCTGAAATATAGCGGCTATAGATGTTGAAAATGCGGCATAGATTCGCCAAGCGAGAAAATAACTATTTTCTAAAGGTTTCAAGGGCTCGATTTAATTTGCTCAAAGCATAACATGCCGCGGGTGGCCACCTGGCCTCCCAAAAGACCAACAAGAAGCATCCGTACGTGCAGCCTGGACCGTCGGCTCTTAGGCGATCTTGACCGCTGGATGGGATGCGATCCGGGCCGTTGCCTGCGCGAAGGGGGAAAGAAGGTCCGAAAGAATGGGCAAAGGTGAAAATTTTTCGTGTAGAGTTCATCATTAATATTCCCAAGCCTTGTGAAGGGGTGACCATCCATCAATCAAACTGAAAGAGAAGAAAATAAGAGCAAAGATAAAAAGCAATAGAAGTGATAGATTGTTCGATTTGATATGCAAATTCATCACCAAAAGAAAAAATCAATCACAGAAAACTTTGCGTCTTTATGTAAAATTTTAGCTATTTACACTTGCGATCAAGCTCGAGAAGAGCTTGGACGTGAAAATTTTCACCCGGTCAAAAAAAGGAGAAAAAAAGAAGTTACAAAAAAAGAAGGAAGTTTCTCTTTTCTCCTTATGTTGTCGCCTGCTTGAGTGATCTCTTGTTCTTGGCGTTTTTGGACATCCATCGGTACTTTAACTTAAAAATCTTGTCGATGCATTTGTGAATCGCGACGAGCTGGTGATGATCTTTCTTCGGGGGCTGTGATTCACATCCAGTGGCAGCGACATTTTGCTCTAGAGCAGGCTGGATCGTGCGAGAATTCATCGAATTCACTGCAAGAACAGAGCACCAAAAACAGAGTGAGCAAAGCCGAATGACTATATAATCCGAGAATCCGAGCACTTGGGCTGGCATCTCACCTGGAGAAATCGATGGCGATGGACTCGATTTTTTCTTGCTGGATCGCGGCCCCAGGCCGAATGCGATTCCGCTTTTGCTACGGTAGCACTTGAGCTCCACTGCCTGCGCGTGCTGGAAGAGATTGTCGCGGCAAACCGACGCGTTCTTCTCCAAGTTCCCGATGATCACAGTGGCTTCTTTGCTGAGGCGCGCGATTGCCGAATCCACTTCCATTCCAATGTGCTCCACCATGCGGTCCACTTTGTTGCTAATCTTCTCCAGTGTGGAGATCGTTCTCGCCACCAGATAGAGCACTGCGACCGTCGTGATCCCAAACCACACGAGATCCATCTGCGTCGTCTCAATCTTCATGGCAGCTGCTGTGATGATGCAATCCAAAAACTTCTCGCCCGAAGAAATTCGCTCAAAGGCTTTGCTTGATTTAAGAATACTCTCTCTCGACTCTCTCTCGACTCGCGTGATTTGGGAAATCTTCTCTCTTTTTTTCTTCTTTCCTTTCTTTGGGAATCTTTGCACTTGCCTTGAAGAGAGCTTAATAACCACTGAGTCGTTTATATACTCGACCAAGTGACAGGGTCCCATTCAAGCGCCAAAAAAACACAGAAGAAAACGAAATAGAAATAGTTAACTTAGCTTTAAGCTTTGCTTTTCTCGATCTAATGTAGATTAAGATCCCGTTACTCCTTTGTGATTTTGCTCTCCAGCTCCATAAAGCAGCCATTGTTCCAATTCACGTGGTAATTCCTTAGAGTAATACGAGGACCAACCTGGAGCATTGACTACCGTTGAATAACGAAATTTTATCTTTTGACCAGCCATTCACCTAGAGACTCGTGGTCAAAATCACTGTGGTAATGCCGGCCTGAATAATCTATCCCGGCAAGCACGAGAAGCATATTCTAAGAGAACATTCAAGGCATATTCTAGGGCTAGGGTTTTTGGAGCTCGCGAGCAATGGGGGGCGATCCATCGCATGGCGCGGCTTCTTCTTCGGGGCATCATCCACCGCAGGGGCACAAGGGATGGCCGGAGCACTGGCCCAAGGATTACTCGGGATGGAACGACGACATCTGGACACCATTCGGCGGCCCCTACTGCAATCCCAGGAATTGGCGCCGCAACACCGCGCTCACGCTGCTAGGGATCTTCCTGATTTGCATCCCAATCGCCCGGCTCTCGGCGCGCCTCGAGGTAATCCATCCTACATTCTCTCCTCTCCAGATTTTCGCGATCGACCCTGATCGATGGGCTGGTTTTGATCGATGTGGAACAGCAACGCCCAGTGCCGCCGCATTTCCCGATTCCCTCGCAGCTCTGGTGCAAGAATTTCGGGCCGCCGTTGGATCAAGACGAGGAGGACGAGGACAGCAAGATCAGGATCTCGTAGAGCAGTGGTGGAAGCCAATAAGTTTTTCCATGTAGCCACGTGGACGGCTGAGATTTGGAACTTCTCAAACGAAGATGTTCAGTGCCCACGCGGGTCAAGAACTTTAGGGTTTCTGGAGCTTTCGAGAATATCCCGGAGCTCCTAATCTACGCGATGAATCTCAAGCGCAAGGGGCCAGACGATAGCGATCCCAGCGCAGCTCTCTACGGGCTGCTCCCCAGCAAGAAGCTGCGACAGGTATGGATTGATCGCCTCGCGCTGATAATGCGGTGAAATTCTCGCGGTTCTTGACGCGATGGGGCGGGATTTCGCAGGAATCGGAGGATTTTTTGCCCGATTTCTCCCGGAACGGGCCCGTTGCGATCCCCGAGGTCTGTCCCGTAGAGATCCCCAGCGATACACCAGTGGACTCTACACCTATTTCTTTGATCGTTACAGAGCCCGATGCTGATGAGAGAGCTTTAGTCTTGTACAGGCCCATGGATCTTCCCGATCGCTCCAAGCCTCGGCTTAGACAAGTGAATGGATCCTTTCCACGCCACTACAGAGGTATGTTTCCTCTGAAACTTCCGTGAGCAAAGAGAGAGAAAAAACACGATTTTGCTTGGTTTGTTTCACTTCTTTCATCCAGATTTCCAAGTCTCCGATGCTGTGGAGTGGTTTTCTCCATCCAAATCGTTCAAGCACGATTTCGCATTGTCGAGTGGAATGGGTATGAACAACAGCTTGGCGGTGATTCCCTACGTCGCGCCTCCAAGTTTCCGCGACGGTGGACGAGTGATTATCGAAGATATCACCGACCAAGTTCGCCAGGAGGAGGAAGACCAAGCGAAAGAACAAGCCATGGCTATGGAGGAAGAGGCGACGCCCATGGACGAAGAGATGGCGGATGCTACAGTGGACGAAGCTACTCCCCAGTTCATCGTCCAGCAGCCGTGCGAGGTTCCATCGTGGCACCTGTTTGATCCAAACTTTGCTACTCCAGTTATGTGGTCTAGCGGATCCTGATTGGAAGTGTCACCTAGTTTTCTTTCTTCTTGATAGAGCTAGCTAGCCGTAGGCGTTAAAAGTTTTAAATCATGAGGGGCTATCGTCTTATTAGGGTTTTAAAGAGGGATGCTAAAGCTGCGATGGCGGCGATAGCACATCTTGCGAGGGATGCCGATGGAGACGATAGAAATGCGCGCGTCGATCCGAGAGATGTCGAGCAGGTGTTGCTGGCAGCGGCAGAGACGATCGCGTCGTGCATGCAAGCAGCGGCCGAAATATCGGGGCTTGAATCGGCTCGAGATGCTCCAACCAGGGTTTCTCCAGCCTCCAGCCCGCCGGAATCTCGGATTATTTCTTCTTCAGAGGGAAAGATCGATTCTTTGGTTCCGATTAGCCACCGGTCGAGCAAGAATCGCGACGCTAGCACCGATTTATCTCGATCGGCGGAGCAAGATGGGCGTTCTTCCAGAAAAGCGGAGGCAAGGATCATCCAAACAAGCCGCGAGGGGCATCCAAGCAAGCGCCTTCGATCTTCTTCTTCTCCATCCGGTGTCAGTTGCAACGACGACGCAAAGAAATCGAAGCACCAGCGAGTGTCAGTGTTTGAGAGGCTCGCGTTTCCACCAGTCCAGGAAGGTAATGGCGATTCTTTTCTCGAGCCCGGGGCACTGGAAGGGATGATCTTTGGATGCACAACGGAGACCAAGCGCGAGTGTGAGCGGCGAAAGCTTTTTGGGCTCCCGGCATCAAATCAAGCCAACGTTCTACGCGTCGCTCCAGGTACTGTGCTCTTTCTTTTTAATTACGACACGAAGGAACTCTCGGGAGTGTACGAGGCCGTTTCGCACGGGGCCATGAACATCGTCGCCGATGCTTTCGAGGAATGGGGATCGTTTCCAGCACAGGTTCACGAGATTTTCGTTTCCTTTTCGTTTCACCGATTCCAATTTTTTCTTCTTTGATCCAAGGTGGAAGTTCGCCGAGTTCTCAAATGCCAAGAGCTTCCCTTCAGTCATTTCAAGCGTGCAATCCTGGAGAACTTCTTCACTGACAAGAAGTTTCACTATGATCTCACGGGCTACCAGGTTCGCTCTACTTACGTTGCCATTGTTTTGTTGTTCTATTGTTTTGAATAGGTGGATTCTCTGGTGGAAATGTTTAGAGCGCTTCTGCTATAGTGTAAGTAATCGCTTCTTCTTTACATAGACAATAATGAACTTCATATAGGTGGCGGCTTCACGTCGGCCAAGCTCGCGGCAATGGCTGCAGCCAGCTCTGATTCATCAACTTCCACATCGTCCTCTCTCGTCGGAACCGTCGTCGTCGTCTTCGTCCCATCCGGCTCGTCAAGATCTTTCAAGCTAGCTTTGATGGCGGCCTCCAGCATCGGATCCGACTCCTCCGCGGCGGCCTTCTGGCTCTCCTGACTGGCGGCCAGCTCGAGCGCCTGCTGGGCTTCCTGGGGAGTGAACCATCGCCCAAAACTCCCATCATCCGGGGAAGAAGCTCCGGCCGCATTGAAGTCCCGGGGGAGCTCGCCCTGCACGGCGAAGATGCTCCATCCCTCGTTCTTGAGCGAGTCGAGGAAGGCCGAGGCGTAGAAGCTGGAGAGGTGCTGGGGAGCCGGCAAGAGGCTGTTGAAGTTGTACCACTGGGCTCCAATCCGGCGGAGCGCGAACCAGTGATCGTGGAGGTTGCAGATGTAAGCGGCGATCTCGGTGGTGGCGGTGGCGAGCTCGGGGGAATTGAGAGGGAGGCACTTGAGATCGAGCGCGGCGAGCGCGCGCTGGAGGACCTGGATGCTGAAGTTGCCGTCGAGGGCGACGTTGGAGGAGGCCTCGGAGACGAAGCGGAGGTAGTCGGGAGAGTGGGCGTCGCCGCCGCCGCTCTCGAGCATCACGTCGCGCTCGCTCTGGTCGAGGTCGCGCGCGATGGCCGCCAGCTCCAGCTCCGAGAAGTAGGGGCCCTGGAGCACCGCATTGAGGCAGTGCACGGCGCACAGCTTGGATTCCTGCGTCTCGTGATAGAGCAGCGGGCTCGCCATAGCTTCACAAAGCCCTAACCCTAATCGAATACTCTGGTATCTTTAGTTTCATGCTTTCTACGTGTCTCGCTGTGGTTGTTACATGTGGCAAATTAGGAGCCGTTCATTGCTTTGAGTGCGTGGCGGGCTTTAGGGCATAGCTTTAGCCTTGTGACTATGCGTTGTGGAGCTCGATCCATGGCGCTTGTCTCGGTATCGCTCGTGCCCTCGTCGCGTGGAGCTCTCGTCTCCACATCGGCCACAGCTGTCTCTGGATCCAGGCCTCGCAAGGTTTGGCTCCCGCATTTCCCTCGAGCTGCCGCCTCGAATCCGGCGCTGGTAGCGTCGAAATCGAGCGTGTTTGGGAGGAGATTGGCCCTTGGCGCTGTTGGAGCTGGCGTTGCAGCTCAGATTGCTTGGGGCGCGGGGAAGGCGTTTGCTTCCACGGCGACCAAGGAGAAATCCATCCACGATTTCACTGTCAAGGTATGGACGGGTCGATTTGATGTTCGGGATTTTGATGATTTGGTAAGACATTAGAATATCGATGGGAAAGACATAGATTTGAGCATGTACAAGGGGAAAGTTCTACTCGTTGTCAACATTGCTTCTCAATGGTGTGTGCTATAAACGTTTGAAAGCATCGGTTTTGACAAGGTTTTCTTTCTTTTTCTTATGATGTTTCCAGTGGATTGACTTCCGGGAACTATAAAGAATTGGTAGAGGTTCACAAGAAATACAAAGACCAAGGTAAGCTGTAAGCTACAAAATAAAACACTGCTCTTTCTTGTCTCTTGTCTCAGGCTTTGAGGTTTTAGCATTTCCATGCAACCAGTTTGGTGGCCAGGAACCAGGAACTAATGAGGAAATCAAGCAGTTTGCGTGCACCAGATACAAGGCAGAGTTTCCAATCTTCGACAAGGTAACTGCTTAAAGCGTTTTTTTTCCCTTCTCTAAGTCGTTTTTTTGCGATGAAGGTGGATGTGAATGGGCCATCGACAGCTCCAGTTTATCAATTCCTCAAGAGCAGCAAAGGCGGATTGCTGGGCGATAGCATCAAATGGAATTTCGGTAAATTTCTAGTGAACAAAGATGGGCAAGTTGTGGAAAGATATGCTCCCACCACTTCTCCCTTCCAGATCGAGGTAAGAACTCTTCCTGATTTTTTTGTCTTTTCTCTCTAAACTATTGTCCTCCACAGGGCGACATTAAGAAGCTGCTATAAAATTCTAAACCCAGGTTTTGGTGTAAATCTGATTGTGAGCATAATGAAGGAGCATGCGACTCTAATCCTACATGCATGCAATTCAGTTCATTCTAGCAGCACGGAAGAACTTATTTTTTGAGAAACCTTTAAACATGGAGTGTCCATAGCCTGTTATTTTGGTGGCTCGCGGAGCGAGGAATTCGTTTTCCGGTCGGCTTAACATGCACCCAAGATTTTGTTACAATCAAATGGTTATCAGCATATATATGATATCATGTACAGTATCAAGCAACAGGAGCGGGAGCGGGAGCAAGCTCCACACGATTTCGCTCAAGGCAAGGTCCGCTCGACGCTACACTCGAACTAGACCACACAATCACATCCAACGAATTTCGAAGCGTAAGACCTGTACCATTAAAAATCGTCATGGAACTCGCGCCTTGTCCATCTGTGTCGCTCCTCCAGAAGAGCGAAGAAGGACGATTGCCCTGGCGCTCCACTTGCAGCTCGAGCTCCAAGCTCCCGTTGGTGGTGAAGCGAACTATGCAAGTAACTGGGCTCGCCGGGGGTGCAAACAAACAGGCGACCCCCACACAAGGCTCTGCCGTAGTGGCGGTGGAAGGATGGGAGCCTCTTGCTGGAGTTGGATCTGGCAGCTGCTGGAAGTGGTGTTGAAGAAGAGCACAGCCACAGCGGAGTTGTCTGGAGATCTCAGCCACTGTTGTCCTCCTGTTATCGAAGCTGTGCCATTTCCTTGAACAGTGATGAGTGCCGTGCTGAAGTTGCCATCGATTCGATCAGGCGTTAGTGATTCAACTTGAGCGCAGGTCATGGACGCAGACATCAGCAGTGCTGGAAGCAAGAGAAGGATTAGCTGTCTAGTCCTAGTAAATTCAGCAGGATCATCACGTCCTCCTGGACGGCATTGTTGGAGAGATCAAGCTCCGACAACCAACAAAGGTTTCCAAAGCCAGAGACAGGAGCTTGCCGGATTTGCCATCGTATACACTTTGAGCTGCATGGAGGAGATTAACACTCCAACTTGAGGCACCCAAGGAAGATCTGGAGAGGATCTAGAGACGTGTGTTGGAATTGGTTGCAGCACTCTTCTCCATTTACTCTACTGCGATTTTGCACCGGAAGAGTGTCAGATGGAGCTGATTCCAAGAGTAGTGGCAAATGGAGTCTTCAAGAAACTTTTGCAACTTGTAAAAAGCAGTTCTTTTTATTTAAGAAAAGAATTCAGTTTAGCAATTGTACGAAAGCAGTTGTCCTGAGATAACATACGAATGTGTTAAAGATAAAAAAGGTCAAAAACATTAAGGCAACCTAAGACCGTTTAATTGTTCCTTGTCACTCGTGGAATAGGATGATAATGAACATTTGGAAATATATAGCCCATATCCCCTCTCCGTCGTATATGTCCTGGAAACCTTGGTAACTTGAGCTCGCCTGTGTCTTTCCTTACAAATGTCATAAAGACCCATTCATCTTCGTCTTCCACCCAAACAATTTGATGCATCTCCCCATCACGTTTATTCTTGACAATTGCACAAAACATAAGCATCTTGCCATAGTACACCATTTCAGGAAGAGAAGGGTATATTCGACCCTGGACAAGTTCATACTTCATAAAATACACCTTGGCAGTTGCATAGGGTGGATCAAACTCAATGGAATGCATTGCCTGCCCAAAACTATCTTCTTCAAGACTGCCCAAATGCATTCCCATGACTTCTCCAAACCCCATCTTGCTGGCAATCCTTCTTACCTTGCTCTCCATCTGTCAAAACCCTATTCCCAAAAGACCTTCCCATAAAACCTACTTTTATAGATGGTTGAAAAGGGCGAAATAATCTAGATTGATCTTCTTGTTTTCTCCAAGCTTTGTTAAGAATTCTTCTTATGCTATCAAAGATCTCGATTGTGTTTGCCAGCATCAGTTCCCTACTCATCCCTGCTAATTCTTCAAGAAGCTAAACAGCAAATGGAATTTTGGGACAGGCTTTGGGTGAATCCTCAAAGGGTGTTCTAGCTCTAGAAGAAAAAATGGGGTGTGGGATCACTTGAAGTAGATCGATGCTACTGAGAATAAAAAGCATCGAGCCAAGCATAGCAAATCCCCGCGCTTCGCTTCCATTTAGGTGATTCCGCAAAGCAAACCGCCCATATGCGCGGCGGCTGCTGTAAAGACCACCACACATAAACCCTAAACCTTGCCCACAAATTAGGGTTCTTCGTTGGGAAGAGAGAGAATGCAGGTCGGTTTCAGGGTTGGAGTGGAATGCTTGATACGAAATCCGCAGCTAGGAGCTCAGATTTTTCCCCGGCAGGGCCTTAAGGTAGAGATTTTGATGGAATTTACGCGTGGATTTGGAAATTCTCATTCCTGTGAGGCAGGAACGAAGAACCAGAGTAATTTGCAGCGTTTCTTCTGGAACTGGAAGCGATTTTGCTGAATATAAGTCGAATGAGGTGTGGTGGAGAGGATTTTTTTTGGATTTCTCCGTGCACTACTAGTTTTCTTTCAGGAGGAAGAAGCGTCGGTGAGGCAGAGATTGGAGAATTTCCGAGACGCGTTTTGGAGGTTCTTGCGTCCTCACACTGTTCGTGGAACCATCATTGGAAGCACGTAAGCTTTATCTTCTCTAGTTTTTGCTCGTGACACTTCAAAACTTTTTTAGATCTTTGGTAGCAAGAGCTCTTTTGGAGAATGCTGATTGTATCAATTGGTTCCTCGTTCCAAAGGCTCTCAGGGGTCTTCTAGCACTCATCTGTGGAAACGGCTACATTGTGGGAATCAACCAGATCTACGACGTTGGCATTGACAAGTAAGCTTTCTCCTCGACGATAAGAACGAAAGAAAACTTACAGAATTCTCTGCTTTCTAGAGTGAACAAGCCTTTCCTGCCTATAGCAGCGGGAGATCTCTCCGTGTCCACTGCGTGGACTCTGGTACTGTCTCTCGCTGTGCTCGGCACTGGAATAGTTGCTACAAACTTTGGCCGGCTCATCACGTCGCTCTACGTCCTTGGCTTGGTTCTGGGAGCCATGTACTCGGTGCCTCCATTGAGGCTCAAGAGATTCGCCGTTCCAGCCTTTCTGATAATTGCTACGGTAAGAACTTATTTGTTTTACACACCAGAAGTTTCTAAGTTCCTCGTCCCAGGTTCGTGGATTTCTCTTGAATTTTGGTGTATACTATGCAACGAGAGCTTCTCTCGGCCTTCCTTTTGTTTGGAGGTATACAGCTTTGGATCTGGTTTTAACATAATTCGTGTTCCTTGTGGTACAGTCCCCATGTCATCTTTATCACGGCCTTTGTGACTTTGTTCGCGACTGTGATAGCAATCACCAAGGATCTTCCTGACGTTGAGGGTGATCTGAAGTAAGCTCCTAACACTCAGCCCCAGATAAGTGTTCGTTTTACTCTAGTTTCTCATTGGATTCTTCGTTTGTACAGGTTCAAGATCTCTACCTTTGCAACAAAGCTCGGCGTACGCAATATATCCTTGCTGGGAGCAGGACTTCTGCTAACAAATTACATTGGTGCAGTTGTTGCTGCTTTTCGTTTTCCACAGGTAGTGCTGAAGAAACTTTCCAAGGTTTCCTGATTCTTTATCGCAGGTTTTTAATACGGGTCCTATGGCTATCACTCACGGGATACTGGGAGTTTGTTTGCTCTACCAGGTTCGAACTTTTCTTTGTAAAACTTGACAAACAAACTAAAATGTTTCTCTTCTCGCAGCTATGGCTGCTGGAGTCTGCCAAATACTCGAAGGTAAGTCAGTTACTTCCAGACAAAACTTTCACTGGCTTTTTAAACCTTTGATCGCAGGAAGCCATCTCTACATTCTATAGATTCATCTGGAATCTATTCTACGCAGAGTATTTAGTCTTCCCAGCCATCTAGAGCTTACTCTTCATACCACCTGCTGAGATTTTTAGCGCCTTCACCTGTGCCGACATTGCTAAAGTATTTTTTCCGATACTCACTCACCAGCCTGTCGAGTTTGTCTTCCTCTTCATTCCCTTCGTTTTTTCCCCTTCGTCTCTTCTTCTCATCCGGTGCAGCCAGAGTCTCCCTGTGCATTCCTTCACCTTGTTTAAATCCCTTCTTGCCATGTGGTTTCGCTGGAGTTTGAGCGTTGTCCATCTTCCTCTTTTTGCCCTGCGCTTTTCCTTGCTTGCCCGCCCCTCCCTGTGGCTTCTCTTGTTCGCCTCCCCCATTTTGAGCCTTGTCCCTCTTTTTTCCCAGTGGTTTTTCTTGGTTGCCTTGTCCTTGATTACTGTCACCATTTTGAGCTTTATCGTTCTTCCCCTTTCTCTTCTTTCTTTTCGACTTCCGTCCATCAGCTTCCACTCCATCATCGTTCGGTTGCCTTTTACGTTTTCCTCCGGGGCTTCCATTACCAGTATCGTCGACTCTTTTGCTTGTTGGTCCCTTTGAGTTTGGTCGTAACTTCTGTGCAGCTAGCCGACTCTCCCTTTTCTTCATCCTCGCTACATTCTCAATCGCAAACTCTACGATTGGTCGTTTCTCCGAACCGAAAGTTTCTGCGTATACACAAACGGCCGAGAAGAACTTGAACCAGATAGATTAAAAACAAGGAGTACCTGGATTGTTATTCAAAACTCGCAACCCGACGATCGCGTGTTGGTGCTCAGCAAACTCTACAAAGCCTGTTCCTCGGGAGTTTTCCTTATCGTCAGTTAAAAGTTTCACCTGCCAAGAGACTCGTCGACGTTAGAAAGGAAAGTTTTCGAGAAGTAGAAACTGCACACCTGTTTGATCACAGGACGCTGCTTTGTCGCCCGCGAAACAACTGCATTTATAAACAGCTGCTTCACGTCCTTCTCGCTCAAAGTTCTTGGAAAGTTATGTATCGCGAGCCTGGTTTTCGAGACATGAAAATTCGGACTCCTCAGTTTTGTTGCCTTCTCTGTTTGAAGCCTGTCCAAGGATCGATCAACAAACAAAAGCAAACAAGAAAATAAAGGGAGAACGAAAGAAAGAACATACGCTGAACGCTTGAGTAAGTCGGATTTTGAAACACCATGCGCGGCTTCTGTTCCTGGTTCTATATATCCTTCCTGGAAGTTTAATGAAGTTAATCGTGGACAACGCTACGATCATCACGTACCTTGAGCAAGTGGAGGTTTCGTTTATCATGATCTCTTTCCTCGATGGATTTCTTCGTGGAGATTTCCCGGGCAGCGCCCCGATCGACAGCAAAATGAGCGATAGGATACTTTCCAGCAACCGAGAAACTAGAGTTCCCTTCTTCGGCGTTCTTTGTGGCTCTGGCTAGCGCTTCGGCGGCTTCTCGAGTAGCAAACTCTACAAATGCTGTTCCTTTTGGTTTTCTGGAATGGCAACCATTGAGAAAACAACAGGTAAAATAGAGTAAAAGGAAGAGAAAATACTTACTTTGTTGCGGGATGAAGCACGAGACGTAACGAGGTCACGTCTCCAAATTCCGAAAACTTTTTTTTCAAGTCGTGTACTTTCGCATCCGGTGGAAGGTTGCGAACGAAGAGTGTTCTCTCCATGGAGTTTTCTTCCGGTGGCTTCGCAGCTAGAGGCTTTTTCACCTCTCGGGAGGCCGCCATGGGACTCTTTCGGTCCTCGTCACCGTCCTTTGCTTTGCCTGGCTCTGTCACAACTTTGCTTAACACTTTACTCACCAAGTTCTTCTCGTCTAAAGGTTTCTCCTCCTCTTCGTCATCTTCCTCGTCGTCTTCTTCATCCTCCTCGTCTTCTTCTTCGTCACTCACAATTCCATCCGATTCACTCGCTGTTTCATTATCAAGGTCGCTGTTCTCGGCTTTCTCTTCTTCTGCGAGCAGCCAGAAAGGAGATCAGCGTTTGGACTTGCTGGGAAAGTGAAAGAGTAAATATTCACCTGACTTGTGGACAATGTTCTCATAAGTCATTTTCGCCACAGCCCAGTCAACAGCTATAGTTCTGTTTGCAATCTTCGTGCCGTTCAAAGCCTTGATGGCCTGAAAAATATGGTGAGCTAAAACTGAATATCGATTTGCTGGCGAGAAGGAACCTTTTCGGCGTCATTTTTGCAAGTGTAGCCTATGAACGCAAAGCCTTTCGATCTAAAACACTGAACACAATTACTACTTGCAAAAGGGAGGATTTTTCGTTTACTCACCGACCATCCGGATTCCGGGGTACTGTGGTCTCCCAGACAAAGCCAGCAGCTGAAAATTTTTCTTTCAACATTGCATCCGTCACCTGGTTAGAAAACTCGACGATAAGAAAATGTCGCTAAAAAACTAACGTTCTACCTTGAAAGGCAAGTTGCGAACAATGAGCCTCCACTTTTTGAGTTTTGAGCCCTGCGCGGATGCAAAACCACAAGCTTACGAAAAGTTGTTTAAGACAATTGTCTACCTCTCCTCCCAATTGCCTGGCCCAAAACACTTCATTGCCGAGTTTTTGGAGATGGTAAGTTGCAACGGCCTGCCGAGCCGCCGTCACTGATGTAAAAACTATAGCTGCAGCAGGAAGCTTGCAGCCATCCCGTGAAAGTCCTGATATAAAAGAAGTTGAAACTTTGGAAGACACGAAAAGATGATGACAGTAAAATTACCATGCTGGTTGATATACGCTTCCGAGAGATTTTTCTCGACACTTTCGACAGTTCCCAGCTTCTTGGCAAGAGTTAAGACTGCTTCCGCTGTTTCCGAGTCTCCCAAGTTACCGATCACTACTGTCCTTGCAGGTCTGCAAAGACAACAAAAGCCTCATAGAATGTTAGAACTTTGAAAGGAAGAAGGAAAACGAGAACCTTTGTTTTTCGGACGCTGCATTCTGAGAAGAGTCAGCAGTCTCTTGGAATTGAGAAGTCCTTTTCTTTTTGGCTTTCGCATGACTTTTTGCGGTGGCCTGCTTTGGCTTTTCTTCTTCGTTGATGACAGCAGGAGTTTCGGGTTCTTTCTCACCACCATTTTGCACTGTGTTATTTGCAGCCTCGGCCGCGTTCTCCTGGCCAGCCGCTTCCGTGGTTCCACCCTGCCTTTTCTTCCTGCGTTCGTTAAGCGATGGACGCTTCCTTGCAACCTCGACTTTGATTCTACGACCCTCCATGGAACTATCATTCTTCGAAGCCACAGCACGCTGGGCATCCTCAGCAATCGCACTACATTTTTGCGAAACAGTCAAGGAAATCGAAGAGAAAACATAGCACTTACAATTGCACGAATCCAAATCCCCGGTGCTTGTCCGTTGCTTCATCCAGAAAACAAGAAAATCAAACAAGTCAGCAATGCGGGAGGACGAGAGCGAGCGAGCGAGCAGCACGAAAAGAAGAAAACAAAGAAATACATACCTTTATCTTTCACTGTGAAAGCGCGACGAACGGGACCAATATCACTGAATGCCTCTTCCAGCTGCCAAAAGAGAGAATGAGACGATCATACAAAGACGAGGCGCCGAAATACCTGCGCATCGGAGAGCGTAAGCGGCAATCCTCTGACGAAGACTGTTCGCGCATCGATCTCGTTTTCTCGCTTCGCCTCTTTCTCGTCTCCCATTGAGGCTCGCGAAATTAGGGTTCTTCGAAGAGGGGTTTTAGCATTTAGGGTTCTTGGCTCTAGATCATGGAAATGCGAGAGAAATGGACTGGAGAGCTCACTGTGGAGCAATGCTGTAGCCGCGCTGCTGCTACGCGCGCCTATGCCCGCTATCCGCTCAAGCTCGTGCTTCCATCCAAGGTAAGCTGGATCCAAAACTTCGCGAATTTGCGGTAAGAGTGGAAATTTTCCATTTCCAGGTCGCTTGCTCGGGGATCGATGCAGTCTGGGTGTATTTAGTGACTTATGGCGGTGGAATCGTGTCCGTGAGTGTTGATTCTCGTCCTTTTTTTTCCTTCTTGATTCTTTTTTTCTCACAGGGAGACTCGATCAGCTGTAAAGTTTCTGTGGGAGATCATTGTACTCTTGTTCTTACGACTCAATCTTCGACCAAGGTACCTACATTTCTGTGCTACGAATTTTTCTTCCTTGTTGAAAGCTTTCTTTCGTTGTGTATGTTTTTTGGTGAAGATTTACAAGGCAGTCCAAGGCAAATTCTCCGAGCAAGTTTTCAAGGTACCAGTGTCATTTCTTCTTCCACATTTCTAGCTAAGATCTTTTTCTTCTTGGTTTTGTCAAGGCTCTCGTAGCGAAGGATGCTCTTCTCGTGATGATGCCGGATCCCGTCACATGTTTTGCAGCCGCGAAGTACAAACAGATCCAGCACTTCTTTTTATCGCTCGATGCCAACCTCGTTCTTGTGGACTGGTTTACAAGCGGGCGAAGAGAACGCTGTGAGGTTTGGGCGTTTGAGTCCTTCAGAAGCACCAACAATGTTTACCTGGATGGCAATCCCGTCTTCCTGGACACCGTAAGCTTTCCTCCTTGTTTCATTCTTCCCTAACTTTCTCGTTTTCTGTTGCAGATGAACTTAGAGCAGGACGTAAGTTTGCCAATATCGTCGAGGCTGCAAGACTTTCACTCGGTTGCGATGCTCGTGATTTACGGGTAAGTTTCTTTTGTTACTTCCGTTTCTCTATATTTTCCTCACACTCTTGGCCTAACAGTCCTCGCTTATCTTCGATCCGGAAGCGCATTGAAGAGAGAGTTGGAAGTCAATGTGAGGAGGCTGTAAGAAAGAAGAAGCACAGATCATCAACGCATGGAAGATTGTTGTGTTCGTTCAGTTCGTTTGGACCATCCGTAAGTAAATATCTGTTTCAGCTTGCGGGAGGAAAAATAATTGTGACATTGTTTGCAGGACGCTGGCCTCGTAGTTCGTGTTGCAGCAGTCGAAACAGAACTGATATATGACTTTCTCAAGCAGGAACTGGCCGAGCTGTCGGACTTAATAGGTGCTCCTCCATACTATGGCAAATAGTCCACACAAACGCACGTTACGAAGCAGGAGAGAGCATCGCAGCCGTTAGACAGCTGCATCCTACGGTAGTCCTTTGCAGCCGTTAGAGTCATTGCTTGGGATCTCTTCTTCTCTTTATGGCCAAGAAGAAATGGGAAGACAACGACTTTGATCCACATTGTCCAACACTTCTCCAACAGGTGCGTTTTTAATCCTCGCGCGTCTTCATCTTTTTCCTCCTCTTTTGTTTTGCAGGTCCTCACGTACAAGTCAAAAACACGTCGCCTCTTTTCTCCGTGGACGACTTCGTCGGACTCCTCGGCTTCGATCGAGAGCTACGGGTCCACCGAATCGCGGGGCTCGTCCGACAGCCGTCTAGACGATCTCATCAACGCTGCCAATATCTCCTCGTCATCCTCTTCCGAAGTCTCGGCCATTCTAAAGTCACTCGCAAACTCCGACGACGAAGAAGACCTATCCATTATTAAAGCACCACCAAAAGCACTCACGCTGACGAGATTGGCCTCTTCAAGTCCAGACGTACGTATGCACCGATGCTTCTCATTATTTTTTCTAAACTCCACCTCTTTTTCTTCCTTTCTTGCCTCACAGAAAGAAAAGGTGGAAGACAACAAAGCACAAATCATATCCACGACTCCTCCTGTTGGTAGTCAGTCACCGTTGTAAAGGGACCCCACTCTACATAGTAGCCTTGGACTGCATAACTCGAGCACAGCTCCTCCACTCCACTAGAATGGCCTCGTCTTTCCAGGTTCTTCTCATCTTCTTTGCTCTTACAGTCACTCTCTCCAATTCAGCTGATCCAGATCCACTCCAAGACTACTGCCTTCCTACTCAAGCGCAGCAGCACCAGTGCAAGAGCTCGCCTTCACCCAGTGACTTCGTCTCCAGAGTCCTGGGAAACGCCCCCAATTCCCAGCCACCGCAGACCTGGAACGCCTCTCTACTGTCCTCGGCAAACTTCCCAGCTCTCAACACCATGGGCCTCTCCATCGTCAGAGCTCGCCTGGGAGTCGGAGGCACGGTCCCGCTGCACTACCACCCCCGAGCATCCGAGCTCATCTACATCGCGGAAGGAGAGGTGGAGGCCGGGTTTGTCGACTCGAACAACGTCCTGTTCGCGCAGACCCTCCAGCCGGGAGACGTGATGATCCTTCCCAAAGGCATGCTCCACTACCAATACAATTCTGGCAGCAGCAGAGCCACGGTGCTGGCCTCGTTGGATAGCCAGAGCCCCGGAATCGTCCTCCCTGGCCCCGGTGTGTTTGGCTCTGGGATTCGAGACGAAGTTATCGCGTCGTCCCTCGGGGGACTGGACCACGCCACGCTTGAAGCGGTGAAAGCTAAGTTCAAGCCTCGGTCGTGATAGAGTCTGTTTGTGATTGATTCGAATAAGCAATCAAAATTGACTACAAAATTGTCGTTTTTCATATACTACGCATTTTCATTAGAACCCTAAATCAGATTGTAGCCGTCCAATTTTAGCGTCTTAACGTGGATCAAACATTCTCGGATTCCACATGCTGCAATGTGGAACCAGCAATCCCGAGAATAATATCGCCGCGCTCTCAAAAATGGGGACGCTCAAGCTCGTAAGCTCGTCGGAACGAATATGGCGGTGGAATCCCGTGAATGGTCGACAAAGGTACCTACATTTCTCTGCGTACTTTTCGACCAGGATCTGGCCGAGCTCTCGGATTTGATTGGCGCTATACTATGGAGCAAATAGTCCACACGAACGCGAGCCCAGCGCGATTCGATGGAACCGTAGCAGGAGTCTGACGAAGTCGTCCATGAGGAAAAGAGCCAATGAGTTTTTGACTATACGGAAGGATCTAGAGAGGAGGAAAAAGAAGGAACTTAAAGTCGAAAGTGATCACCAGGTTACCACGGCACTCTGAGCAGCATTGTGATTTGTTAGATTCTTGAGCCGCTGCTCTCCAATGTCCCGCGAGACGATATGATACTCCGCTCTCCACCCACAAGTTTGTGCTGGCTCACAAAAAGGGCCGTCAAGGCCTAGGTTCGACAGAGTTTGTTCGTCAAGCCACTCTGGGGATTTGGATTTTCGTGCCGTTCTAAGTGCCAAGTGCGGGAACGAAACAACACGAACGAAGAAGTAACGGTACGATTGATGTTCTCTCATGGACGAACTAATTTTGTAGTGATTGAATCATTTTATTTTGGTGCCAAAGTACATTACTTCTCGTCATCCTCTTCCGAGGCCTCGGTCATTCTAAAGTCGCTCATGGTGACGAGATTGACTTCTTCGTACGCACCTATTCTTCCCATTTTTCTTCTTTTTTCGTCCCTCGCAGCAAGAAAAGGTGGATGCACAAATCATATCCTCGACTTAACCTCGGACTTCAAAACTCGACCGCCATCACTCGAGTTCCTCTGCTCCAGAATGGCCTCTTCCCTCCAGGTTCTTCTCGTCTTCTTTTCTGTCCTCGCCGATTCAACTGATCCAGGTTCACTCCAAGACTACTGCCTTCCTACTCAAGAGCAGCAGCACCAGTGCAAGAGCTCGCCATCACCCAGTGACTTCGTCTCCAAAGTCCTGGGAAACACCACCAATACCCGGCCTCCACAGACCTGGAATGCCACTCTGCTTTCCTCGGCAAACTTCCCAGCTCTCAACACCATGGACCTCACCATCGCCAGAGCCGAACTGGGAGTCGGAGGCACGGTCCCGCTGCACTACCACCCCCGAGCATCCGAGCTCGTCTTCATCGCGGAAGGAGTCGTGGAGGTCGGGTTTGTCGACACGAGCAACGTCTTGTTCATCCAGACCCTCCAGCTGGGGGACGTGACGATCGTTCCCAAAGGCATGCTCCACTACGAATACAATCCTGGCAGCAGCAGAGCCACCTTGCTGGCCTATAGCCAGAGTCCCGGTATCCTCGCCCCTGGCCACGGTGTCTTTGGCTCTGGAATTCGAGACGAAGTTATCGCGGCCTCCCTCGGCGGACTGGACCACGCCACGCTTGAAGCGGTGAAAGCCAAGTTCAAGCCTCGGTTGTGATAGAGTGATTGATTCGAATAAATCCTCGGCTGTTCAGTTGTTAACCATTAAAAGCGCGCCGCGATCTTGTGACTTGGAACATACAATGGCGTCAAAAGATGGATGCTGGATTGTATCCCCCTATGGAACTCCTTGCCAAGGCTCGCCTAAGAAATCCTCGCTCTCATGCCCGCATTCTCCCACCGCGGCTCCAGGAATCCACAATATATAGGGTTTTGGCCGACTTATGGGCTAGAGGGAGCAAACAAATGATCCAGAGGAGCTGTGCGAGGAAAAGCACGACTGCACAAGAAGGAGGAGCTTCTCCGCGAGGAGAAGCTCATCTTACTGAAGTACGAGGGTATCGCACTATCCACAAGGAGTTGCCTTTTACTTGCTGCTTAAACAACTCTCGCTCCCTTTTCTGTTGCTCTTGGTGTGTGATCGTAGTCGCAGTGATCCTGACTTCGATTAAAAATTTGAGCTCCAACTTGGACCTTGGATTAACTCTCTTGGATTAACTCTGGACGAAGTTGACACACAAGATGCAAAATGCCGCGCCTGGGCATCTTGGGGCGCCTTGGCCGGTGTTGGGCATTTGCATTGACGTCCTATCTCTTCGCCGGATAACCCGCTGGGGCTCGGAAAACAAATGTATTACATTTAATTAGTGTTCTAGAGAGTTGTGCAAATTGTGCATCTTCATGAGCGCTGTCTCTTTCCTTCTCTTTCTCCTCGGAAGTGGAACGGACTGATCTTCTGGCACGAAAAGAAAAACAAAAGAACGTGAGAGATCATATCTGGCACGGCATTGTGACTGCTAAGCTTACATGCGTTCTGGAGTGTGAGACGCCGGCGCCTGAGAGCTTTCGTCCTTTTTATTGCTGTGTAAAAACAAGAAAACATGTTTTCGTTCTGGACGTGATCTTCAAAGTGAAGAGTGATTGTACCTTAACTCAGAATGACCGCATGAACATGGTTTCTCACCCTGGAGGCTCGCAAAAGAGAAGACAAAAGCAACCCTCTTCGTCATCTTCCTCGTTGTCTTCTTCATCCTCCTCGTCTTCTTCTTCGTCACTCACAATTCCATCCGATTCACTCGCTGTTTCATTATCAAGGTCGCTGTTCTCGGCTTTCTCTTCTTCTGCGAGCAGCCAGAAAGAAGGTCAGTGTTTGAAATTGCTGGGAAAGTAAAAGAGTAAATATTCACCTGACTTGTGGACAATGTTTCATAATTCATTTTCATCTGAGCCTAATCAACAGCTATAGTTCTGTTTGCAAGACATTGCCCTTCTAATGCATAACAAGGTGCTATAAGTTGACTAACCATTCATCTGTTTTGCTGTAAAGAGGGTCACTAACCAATTTTCATGCCGTTCTTGATGGACTGAAAAATATGATGAGCTAAAACTGAATTTCATTTGTTGGTGAGAACGAACTTCTTCGGTGTCATTTTTGCATGTGTAGCCTATGAATTCAAAGCCTTTCGATCTAAAATACTGAACACAATTACTACTTGCAAAAGGGAAGATTTTTTCCGACCATCCGGATTACAGGGTGTGGTCTCCCAGACAAAGCCAGCAGCTGAAAATTTTTCTTTCAGCATTGCATCCGTCACCTGGTTAGAAAACTCGGCGATAAGAAAATGTCGCTAAGAACTAGCGTTCTACCTTGAAGGCAAGTTGCGAACAATGAGCCTCCACTTTTTGAGTTTTGAGCCCTGTGCAGATGCAAAACATCGCAAGCTTACAAAAAGTTGTTTAAGACAATTGTCTACCTCTCCTCCCAATTGCCTGGCCCAAAACACTTCATTGCCAAGATTTTGGAGATGGTAAGTTGCAATGGCCTGCCGAGCTGCCGTCACTGATGTAAAAACTATAGCTGCAGCAGGAAGATTGCAGCCATCCCACGAAAATCCTGATATAAAAGAAGTTGAAACTTTGGAAGACACGAACAGCAAAATTACCATGCTGGTTGATATATGCTTCCGAGAGATTTTTCTCGACACTTTCAACAGTTCCCAGCTTCTTGGCAAGAGTTAAAACTGCTTCAGCTGTTTCTGAGTTACCGATCACTACTGTCCTTGCAGGTCTGGACAACAAAAGCCTCGTAGAATGTTAGAACTTTGAAAGGAAGAAGGAAAACAAGAATCTTTGTTTTTCGGAGGCTGAAGATTCAGCAGTCTCTTTGACTTGAGAAATCCTTTCCTTTTTGGCTTTCACATGACTTGGCAAAAAGGGAGCCAAGTCAACAGGGCAAGACAGTTGACTAAAGAATATTCTGTTACAATATTCATTACTGTTTAAAGAATATTTTGAAGAATATTACCAATTTTTATTGCTTTTTCTGAATATGCTAAGAATATTATTTTGTAATAATTTAATATTCTGTCATTACAACTATATATTAAATCATGTAATTACTACAACTATACTTTATATTGTAACTATAAACTATTATATAATATCAGATATTATTATAACTACAATAAATTATAACTCACATCTATACACAATCCATATATATAGAAGAATTAAGTTGCTTTCTTCTTCTCTCTCACGTTTCTTGCTTCTCTCTCTTCTTCTCTTTGTGCATGATCATCAACAAACTTTGATATAAAAGTTGACTTTTCCTTAATGTACATGTTATAATGCTCTGAAGGCCTTTTCATAAACTCAATTACAACTTTCACATGGGGAGGTATATCATTAAAAACTTTCTTCATAATAATGTGTTGAAACCATTATATGATGCTAGGATCACAATCTATTCCTAAGGCATTGTGACCATAGTGTTGAGAAACAACTAAGAAAGCCTTTATGCCACTGAAGAAGTCAAGGATACAATCACTCTCATAGCAAAGGCGTCGCATAACCATGTTTACCAAAGCTTTTGACTTTTGTGAAAAAAGTTGCCTATAAAAAATATTATAGGTATTTTTTTGTTTAAAAAGAAATGATTTACCAAGTTTTACATTCAATATCATCCATAATAATGTTAGCTAGTTCATGTTGGAGGAGATTTGATGAAAGGTTTAAAGGCAAAGCCACTTTTTCCCTTATTTCCATTCTCTTGTAGAACAATAATATTGAGATAGCTTTGATCAATATTGCAAAATCAATTACTAATCAGGAAACACAAAAACTTTAAACATAACTACTTCTTGCCTCTAAAACCAGCCTATTTATAACTCTAGTATGTAGTCTTCAATTAAGACAAAGTGAGTTCGAGAAAACACCTCTACCATCCCAACTATCTGTGATGTCGTCCCAAAGGTTAAACACCAACTAAAAGTCCCATAAAATTCATTTGCAAGATTAATATTGGAATAAAGCTAGGTTGGATCATTATCGTCATATTTCTTCATTATCCCCCCCCCCCCTCGGCAGCTCTAATGAAACCAAAAGGAAGTCAAGGATAACCAAGTCTAAAAAGTTATTCAATAAATGAGCACCAAAAAGATTAAAAGAAAAATTTACTTACTCAATGTGAAAGTTTATTAATAGAGAAACTCTGAGACTAGCAATACATAAACTTCAGTTCCTTGAGAATTAATTTATGCTGCTTAAAAGTCTCAATATCTAGAGCTTTCTTATCTTCACCAATCTTAAAATCGTCATCAATATATTTCTTATATGTTTTATAGCCTCTTGAAGAATGAATTTAGCCAAGTTTTCTACAACTCTATACTAGACAACAAAGTGGCCAAGTGCTTTTGGCATCTCATCTAGATCATTAATATATAGTTTCCACCCAAGCTTTCGAAAAAACTTTCTTCCATTCTTCTTTGAAACTTAGACCTCTTCCACCTTAGGACTAGCAGGAAAAACACAATTAAATACAAATTAAATAAAGAAATTTTGTTAGCTTATTAGATGTAGTAAATGCCTCTAGTGTAGCATGCCTTCTCCTCTTCTTTTCCGACTGTGTCTTTACTTTGGTGGGTTTGTCAACATTGTCAAATTCCATAAAAAATCCCTTCTTAATGGTCGTGAGTTACTTCTCCTTGAACCACTCTTGCGCATGTGAATTCCACATTTCTTACTCCACCTTTGACACCACAGCAATGCCAAGATCGACAATTTTCTTGCTTATAGTTTGTGACTCTAGTATGTTTAGGCAACTTATCATTCCTATACATATAAGTAGACAGCACAACAATAGTTGGAATCACCTTTTACACAGATTTGAAGTACCTAAAAAATAAAGAAAATTAAAACTTGAAGGGTATAAAGTGATGGAAATGTTATCTATATCCAAGATGCTAACCAACTTTTTGCATTACTACATCATTTATCTTGTCTCTCTGGTCTTCATTATCCTCCTCTTCAATCTCGGCCTTACTAGACACTAGTTGAAGTTGCAGCCAAATCTATAAAATGCCAAACTTGAGCTCGCACTTGTTATAATACTTTAACACTATTTTGTACTTTAATTGATCTGCTCTAGAGAAGAGTTCTTCACCCACCTCCTTAACATACTCAATTGCTTTTTCCACCACCTTGATGTTCATTACTTTTTTCCTCCACCACACTCAAAACGACTTATTAGTAGTCGAGATTGAAGAGTGGACAACTTTAGATGATCTACCAGCTACTCTTAACTCCTTAAATGCTACTAACTTATACAAATTTGGAATTCGTGCCAAATCCATTATGTTTAGCTTCTTGAACATACGTTATTTATATTGTAGATCCTCTACATTGAAGCTCATGACAACATCAAACCATTCCTCTCTAAGATCCAGATGCGAGATGTTAATAAACTTCATCATCTTTACTATATGTTTTTGCTTGATTTTGTACTCCTCTTAGCAGCAGCATCAATGTCAAGGCTCTTCTTCTTCAATCTCTCCAAGTCCTTATTGATGTCATACTAGAGAAGCAAAAAACTTGAAATAAGTGCTTTAGCAAGTTTAATTACCTCAAATAGAATGTGCGTGTAGATATATTGAGGGAACTTGGCAGAGTTATTGTGCTTTTTGGACAGCTACTGTCATGTTCAATTGGACCTTTTCCTCA